AAGTGAATCAGGTTTTGAAATAATTTATTAATAGGAAAGAGAACAGGAAAAATGAGCGAAATATTATTTCAAAGTATTGTATTAATATTAGCTTCAAGTGTCAATAGACACTTTTGGACATTTTTTGATATCATTTAACTTTACCCTTCAACATTGCCTTTGGTTTACTTTTTTGTTTCATAAAGTTGAAGTGAAATGGATAAATAAGAAATAAATCTCATTTTTTCAACTCATTTTGATTGATTTCTTGATAACTTTCGGTTCTTTTTTTACTCCATTTAGCTTTACATGATATTTGGTTGAACCTCTATTAACATTGTTGCCATTAATATATTGGTAAGGTTTTCATTAGGTTTGCCGCAGGTTATGATATTGGGACATTTAACTGTGTATTCCTGCTATTGGTTTGTTGTTCAATTGCCTTGTAATATTTTATATCAAATTTTGTCGCTCAAAGCATTCTGTTTTTACTATTATTTATTGTCTCATTTACAGCATTTACAACGACTTGTAATTGCTTTTACTCAGAGAAAAGAGTTCATCTCTTCCAATTGTAAAGTCAAAGACTAAGTTTATTATAATGAAAATGCAAAGAAGTAATGATTTTGCTTTCGGACAATCAACTGAAAACTTTCCCTTTTAGCTTTTGCAAAGCAGTTTGAGTTAGATGAAACGTTTCGAGTTGGTGCTTGCATTGGGAATGAAGCTTAAGTTTACAAACTTTCCTGTAAATTCTGTAATAATTTATGTAATCAAGGGAAGCTTTTTTGCTACGTTTTTGACTAAACCCAAGTTACATCAATGACCAGTTTTGGGATGATCGATGACTTTAGTTTAACAGGTATTTCATGCAAATATGAATAAACACAATGGATTGAAACAAACGATTACAAAGTACAATTCGATGATAATCTGTGACTAACTTCGAAAGTAGACTTTTCTGTCGACTTGAATGCTAAGAACAGAATAAAGTTTTAATGTTGAAACGATAAACAACTAACGCTACCTTATGAGGCCTTTGCCAACTAAAAGATTATTGAACCAACAAAATCCCAACTTTACAATATAAAACCAACTTCAACAATCTAATTGTCAGAGAGCATTGAAACTTTACCTTTGAATCTAGTTGCTAGAGCGCTGAGCAAACTTTTTTCCAGTGTAAATTGTGATGCTTCTGAACAAATTAAAGCTAAAATTTATCAATATGCAAATATTAATATCGATCAATAATGTTAACTGAAAATTCATAACCTAGCAAAGCTTTTGACTCGAAACCGAAACCTCAATGGATGTAAGTTACATGAAAGAGCTTTACAGACTTGAATCATTGTTTTTTAAAACATCCTTTAAACTGTGATTTACTTTGAATAAAAAGTGAAAGTCTGTTAACTGAAAGGGAGTAAATGATAGATATTGCTACAATTGATGAATATTTTTCACTCAAAATGAAATTTCCTCTTCAAGTTGAGTGAGGAAAAGCTGAAAAACATTGAAAATCTCTTCTAATTCAATGGTAATTTGATATTTGGTTTACAAACGTTTATAGCTATTAATGAGAAACAAATGGAAGGCAACAATTGCCCGTTTTGGTCAGCATCAACATAATCATCTGCCCATCAAAACAAAGTGGAAACTCTGTACACAAATAAATACAAACAGTAAACAAACACTTGAAACAAAAGTGAAAGTCAGGAGAAGAAGAAGCAAGAAGAAATGATTGAATCTGGCGAAAACGAAGAGCAAAAACAAAAACAGATTTGACAGTTGAAGTGAAAAAATAATATAAGATAACGGTCAATGGAGTTAAGAAGCTGTCAAAGTTATCATTGAAGTTACACCAAAATCAATGTAACTTCTTCCTTCCTTCCTTCCCAATCATCATCCCATGAACGAAGCACAAGAAAAGGGCGAAAACACCAAATAATTTGATTCAATCATGAATTTTTCTTCTCTCTCTTCGTGATTATCTCATTTCGCTCATCTTTCATCTTTGGCCAATTGAGTAGAAAAGCGAAAAGAAAAAGGAAAAAAGTGATTTTTTTAAGGCCAACAAATCAATATATCTTGACAGTAATAAGTAAAATAACATCTTCATTAGCAAATGATGAGTAATTATTGAGACCGTGATATTCATGTCAATATATTGATGGATAAGCAGTGAAATGATTAAATGATTGGAATATTGAAAGTACAATAATCTGTAAATTATTAACTCTTAATGTTATTGTTTATTATAATAAGCAACACCATTTATTGTTGTCAGTATTGATTGAACATGTTAACAATAGATTTTCATCTTTTTCTCATTTCTCATCTTTTCCTTCATCTTTACCTTTCTTTACCTTTTTTTCTGATCATTTGCTGAACATTTCAATAACAAATTAACCATAATCTTGATTGAAATCTTTTTCTTTCTCTTTTCCATTTCAGTCTCATCATGTCTCTCAACATTATCCTTCATCTTTTCACGTTAATCGGATTTCATATTTTTCATCTTTTCGTCTTTGACTGATGCCTTTTAATAAGTCAGTTATACTCTTTACTTTTCATTCCCTTCAATTATCCATTCGCATTGGACACCCAATGAATAGGTTGAAACTGAATCTCTGTTTTTCCCTCTTCAACAGAATCCATTATATAAGGAATTATTGTCATTATTAAGATACTTCTTTGCATTCCTTTACATTCATATTTATACTAATAACTATCAGTGGTATTAACAATCATTGTAAAGTAGTGATGGATCAAGTTGACGCTTTGAAAAGAGGTTTAGTCTCTGGATTATTATTATTATTATTATGGAATATCAATCCTTCAATTTAACTTTAGATCAACAGTAATCATCATGTGAAATGTGAGATGAAGAGTTACTTTAGTAATTAGACTGTAAAAATGAATCTCGAGTAACATTTGATATTTAATGAACATCTCTAAGTAAACCTTGTTATAAAGGAAACAACATTAAATAACAAACTCTAACCATTCAGATTCTGACCAAATAACATTAAACAATTTTTATTCAAAATTTAGTCAAGACAGGATTCTCGTGTTTGCTATTGGATTACTGGACTCTTCTTTGGTCTCTTCCAAGTTTCTTAACGTTGTTAATGTAAAGAAGACCATTCGATTTTCCAATCCCTTGATCAGTGCATAGAGCTTATAAAGTTCATCATGACTGAATTTCGTTCTTGTGACCAGTTTTGTTCCATAGAAAATTGAATATTCGAGAAAATCCAAATCATTACACGAACATTTTTCCAGCAATTTACAACAAATCAGAAAAATTGACAATCGATATTCAATCTAAAATGCTATAAGGGAAAATAAAAGTTGATTCAATATCGAGCTTTTAATGAGAACGAAGTTACCAGAACGGTTGAGAGAAGAAACTAAAGATTTTTATGATTATACGAAAACTATTGGAGTTTTTTGTTCGAAGATTCGATCAATGTTTTTGGAAGAAATCAGTTATAAATGAATTTAAAAGACAGTTTTTCAACGAAAATTGTTTCGACTATTGAATGCTTGACTTTACAACTTCACAACCAAAATCAGCTGAAAACAGCTTCGATGGGTTAACTCTTTGTTTTATTTAGTCCATTTAGTTGGTAATTATTCTCGATATTATTTGCTAATTTTTCGAGTTCTTTCATTACAATTCAAAGAACGACCGTTATCCATAAGAAAAGTCAATTTGATGGGAAGAACGCAAAAAATCGAAACTTTTTCCTCCCAAACGTTTTTCCTTTTCTCTGTTTTGCAAATAAACTCAAAAGTTTCACTCAGTCGATCAAAGGTTCAAATTTCTTCTGGAATAAATTCGAAATCTGTTCAGAAGAAACTCAAATTTTTACATTTTGTCCGTTATTTTGATCAACAACCAAAACTCAATTCTAAAAGTTTTACAAATTTTTTCCTCGAAAGAAACAATAAAATTGATAGTTTCCATGATTGAACTGAACTTGATTGAAATTACCAACAATTATTGTCTGATATTGTTTCATTGATTGAAAATTGTTATTCATGTTAACTTGCACTGATACTCTTTTGTTTCTGGAAAAGTGAAACTTTATATTTTTCACTTTTGGTCAACTAAATATACACTTTGTAATGAATGTGGATGTTAAGCATGTTATTAATGGGGATAAAAGAGCTGAAAATCGGATCCAAAAGTATAATCTTTGATTTACTTTCTCTTCATCTTCTTGCTAATGCATTTAAATGTGTAACAATCCAATAGAGTCATCTGTTTATCTTCTCAGAGTTTCATTATATCATCTTCTTTGGTGGGTTAAATGAGTAGAGAAGAAAAAAAAGAAAATATTGTTTCTCTGAAAAGAAAGCTTTTTGTTTCCATTTATTATCCAAAATATATTGTTAACCTGAACTAAGATGATGACGATGATGATGATATTATGTACATCAATCTTCCTCTTCCTTCAATCTCTCTGTTTTTATCCATTAAAGTTCACATTGACTTGAATCAAAAGACAGTTAAAGTGAATAACCATTTTTATCACATTATTTATCATTTCATTCCCAGTTTATCACAATATTCACTCCCAGTTTTATAATAAATATTTTTTCTCCTCTTTTCTCCTCTTTCCATTCATCATTACATGCATTACACTTTTTTGTTTTTCACCTTTTTACGCCTCTTGAATCAATTTTCATCATTCAACTGAACAACAATTGCGAATCAATTCAATTGTAAACAAAATTTCATTATAAAATGTTTTTTTCATTAAACTTTATTTCGACTCTTTTTCAGTTTTGAAATTGCTAATCATTTCAACAGTTTACAAGCTAAGTGAAAATTGCTGGAAAATTTAGTTTCATTAATATCGATTTTTAAATTGTCCTTTTGGGTTAAAATTTTTAATTTCAATTTTAATTTCATTTTATTTTACAATTTATTTGCTAGTAACACCCTCTAGTGTTAATTTATTTAGATGTATTCAAATGATAGCATGTGATGTTAATTCATCAAATGGCGCTCTTTTGGTCAGCCTTTTCCTTTATTCACTTTATTGTGCCTTTTACTCGGTCATTTTTGGCCTCTTTTGCCCTTTTTTGTTGCTTTTTTGTTGACTTTTGATTTTCATTTGTGGTTTATTTTCTATTCATTTTTTCCTCCTTGCTGCCTGGCTTGTTGTTATCTAATTTGGTGTAAGCATTGGTTAACATTGGTTTTGGTTTTTACATCACATCTTTTTTTTCAATGTAATCTTTCACTCTTTGTCCTTTGTAATACTTGTAAAGCATGGTTAGATTTACCAAACCATCAGTAATAACCTCTTCAATCAAATCTCAAGAAGTAAGAATAAGCTTACAAATTGAGGATAATCCGCTTTAATGTTTATGAGCCCAGGAAACTTTTGAGGTAAGCTTTCCTTTCCTTTCCCTTTGCCTTGTCCAACCCTGTTTAGTGGACCATTTTGTTTACGCTTTGTTTTCTTGCCTCTATCCTGCTAAAGCTTATTTTGTCATGTTTTGACGTTGCTACTGTTGCTTCTGTCTACACTGTTTAGTACATCATTTTGTAATTTACTCACCCTGGAAAGATTAACTCACCTTGTTAAAGAAAAGGGAGAAAATTAAACAATTATGTATATACAAATTGACTAGCCTAAGTATCTTCTGCTACTCCATTAATGTGTCTTTTCAATCAAACCAGCACAAAACCCTTTTCCAAAACCAGTTCATTATCACAGTGAATAATACTTATAACTTAAAATTTTTTTCTCTCTCTCTCTTCTCTTTCCAAGTCATAAACAAAAGGAGCCAACAAACGAGGTTACAACCCTTTAAAACATGATGATCCTGGAGACAAATTAGGTTACAGCTTAAAAGTGTTTTTGTGTATTGGTTTCACCAACTACAAATTGTTTGAGTTTATTAGTTACAATATAACTGAAAGGTTTTATGCATAGACCAAGTAAAGGAACCAACAGGTTAAAATGGTCAAGTCAAGGTAGCCTTTTTTGTCTCTTTTTAACCTTTTCATTTTCCTTTCTTTCCATCATTCTAATCCACTTCTCTTCTCTTCTGTCTTCTTTTTTAGCACTTCATTTTATCTTCTGATCTTGGTATATCTCTTCTGCTTTTCTATTGGTTTCTTTCCCCTTTGGCCTCACTCTTATGGTTAACTATTCTTTACTAATCTGGCAGAGAAATGAGAAGCAAAAGAGACGTTAGTTGGGTCTAATGATGCATAAAATTTTTCAACAGTCTTCAAATTATTTGCTTGCGACTGCTGTACTTTTCAACTTCTCTCAATTTCCCAAAATGAAAACAATTTTTTCTAACATACCTACCAGAGTATTATGTATACATATACACAATATATACCTGTATCTGTGCATAAGTAGGTTGGTACAAACATTTAGTACGTATGAAAAAACACCATGTTACTTGCATTTAGACTAAATTTCTTATTTTTATTATGTTCCTTTTCTTGTTCACAGTAAACATTTTTTTTCATGGTAACCTTGGTCTTTACCTAAGTCTTGTACCTGTAAGAATATTATCATCTCAATGGGAGATGAGGGCCTCCCCTGGGGACACAATGGACACACACATACTGACTGATATTTTATATTGATAAGTTGATTCCATCTATTTGTGTAGTTGCTGTTGTTGTTTCTACTCTTTCTCTGACTAGCTTGCTCCACCAACTTGAACAAGCAGCAAATTTGAACATTACATTTACCATATGGAAAATATTTGGATGACAAAAGAAGAGGAAGAGCATGAAAAGTTGGAGACGATGATGATAATGAAAATGATGGAGATGAAGAAGCTTCAACAGTAAGAATGATTTTAAGAAAGATTATTCCTATCAATAGATTGGAGCTGTTGACTTTATTGGGAAACAAAATTTGATTGATTATGACCTAATTAGTTTCAATTGGATTTCAGGTGTGAATTGAGACTAAACAAAAATTTAAAATATATCATCATTTATTTAGGTTTTATTTGATTACTTTGATCAACATTTATCAATTGTTAAAATTAATCGACTGAAAACCCTCAAATGGTGATATTGTTGAGTGTTAAATGTGCTAAAATGGGATTGCTTTTGATTGACTATTTTACTCTGTTATTCCCATGTTGATAGTTGAAAAAGCATTCAATTATATGGAATGAAAGTGATAATTTGTTGTTATTATATTTCAATTTGTTTCAATTTTTCATGGGAAATTCTGGAGAAAAAAAAAGTAAATCAAGAAAAGCTAAATTATTATTTAAAAATGCAATCAATCAGTTTCCATCATTTGGATTGAATTGATTTTTAAATATAATGACGATTAATTTTAAACATTTTCAATGGAAATTTTTCTCAGATTGAGAACGAAATTCACTGACAAAAATGTCAAAGAGACTTTAAATTGTCGATAATTTAGGTGAAAAATTAGTCGATTGAAAATAAATTTTCTCACCTTTCGCCATCTGATTAACTTTTCCTTTAATCAGTCTCATTTTGTACACCAATTTCATTGAATCTTTGTTGAAATTGGTGAAATTTATCAATTCAAATGTCAATCAAATTGGAAAGAGAAGCAATTGTAAAATTGAATTTTCTCATTGTTATTCAATTTTCACCTTATTAATCATATTTTCTAATCAATTACTCAATTATCATCTTTCCATGGGAAGATTAACAGATTTTCCTTGCTCTGTCAACATGAAAATTATTGAGTTGAAAATATTGAAACTAACAAACTAAATTTACTCCATTTACATATGTAATCTTTTTGCTTTATCCTTTACAGAATACTAATTGATTACAAGGTTGGCGGATTAACTCTTTACTTTGTCTGAGCTACACTTTTTCCTGGTCTTTCAATGGATGATAATAATAGTCATAAAGCATAATAATAATCATAATGATAAAGTATTAAGTAACCCTAATTGGTAAGTAAACAAGAAAAGATGAAGTTGCGGAAAAACGCGAAAAGGATGAGAAGCCCATTAACATGAAACTTTCTATCAAACAAACTCAACATAATATCATAGTATCAACAAAGAATCTGATTACATGGTAAATCACATTTGAATACAAGTTTGCTCATTAACTTTGTTTCCATCATCATGTTTACAACATCCTTGTCATTCAAGGCAAAGGCTGAGGTAAAAAAAAGCTGCAACTCTTCTATTCCAATGAACAAACGTCGAGTCTTCTCATCCTTTTTTTGTTCTGATTATCCTCATTCTTCATTTTATTCAAACCTTCCAATTCAAACAAAGTAACATTACAATTCTTTCTCTTTCTCTCATGATCATTTTTCTCCTGCTTACACTCATTTATTTCAATTCTCGTCCTTTTTTACCTCTTTATTGAACCACAGATTAGAGACTGTTTTTGGTTAGATTACATCAAAATGAATGTTGATTGATCCATAAAAAAGCGACTAAATTGTAACTTCAGGATTGCACTGGATATCAAAGGGTGAAACATGATGACAATGCTGATGACAAGGAATTGAAATGTAAAGACAATCTTGCTTTTTGCCTGTTTACTGCAAGTCAAGTTTCTCTCCTTTAATCAAAGTAAATCTGGTTAAACGGCGAATGTTGATGAGGATTTTGATGATACTAAAGAGAGATGTAAAAAGAGAATCGAAAGATGAGGAAGATGAGGATAAAGATGGAGGGAAAACAAGAGGATGAAGACAGGTTCAAGTTGAGTATGATTAAAAAAAAGAGGAAACCAAGTTAAGCTTACTCTGATTGTTTATTCAATGGCGAGTAAAAACTGTCTCCAATTGAATTTCTTAATTCTTTATGTAAACATTACTTTGATTCTATCAGTTCTTTTCTTTTGCCAATCTTTATCCTCATCATTTTACATCTTTTCCTTCATCATCTTCCTTATTCCTTTTAACATCGTCATCTCATTGACAGTTAACCTCGCCTTTCTTATTTCCCATTCTCAAGTTTACTTCTTAATCTTTCCATCAGCTAATTCGCAAGCAAAATATCAATCGTAATATTTAATTTCATTTTTTCTTGCATTCATTGATTATTGGTTTTCAAAATCATTACACAAGAATCAAGAAGAGATAGAAAATTTTCTCAACATTTACAATTAATTGCTACTAAACTCTTGCCAATTGCTTTCTTATTTTCACTTATTAATCTTGAAATTTTTCCTTCATCTTCTCTTCAGGCTTCAAATGGATGAATTTGAAACTGTCCAAATATTATTGGTAATAAATTATCTACAAAAAAAACGGAAATGATTGCCATAATGATGTTAATAATGATGGAAACATAAAGGCGAAAAATAACTCAGTTGGAAGCGCAAATTACGATTAGACGATTGTGGTTGGATATAATCACATTGCCAGAATTGCAATGAATAATTTTCTTCTCTCTTCTGACGACTTTGCTATAAAAAAGAGTGCAAAGAAGAGTAAAGTTAATGTTAAGCTTAACTCATAAAGTTAATTTCTTGATTTATGAAGCTTTTGTCTTTTGCAACTTTACTCTTCATCATTCTTGTTTTGATGTTGCCATAAAAAGCAAGATAAATCTCATGAGATGGCAAGACAACATGACAATGATGATTTCCAACAATAACACCATACAACATCATCATGTTATTCAACTCCATCTTCATCCATTCATCTTTCACTCTTAATCTCGTCACCTTATTTTACTCTTTCTACTCTTTCTAGTCGCCCATTTCAATTTCACAGATTCACAAATTTCATTTTATTGCGATAAAATGATTTCTTCTTTTAACATGAGTTTGCTTTCATTTTTTACAACATTGCTCGTTAGATAACATCTCAATCTAACCAACTAACCAAAGTACACAATTTTTGTAGCTTATAAAGTGCTAGTCGTAAAATTAGGTGTCAAGTGTAATTGTAATTTTTGTGAAAATGATTATTGAGTTGAATAGAGAAAGAAAAACTCAGAGGAAAATAATATTGAGAAATGAGTAAAAAAGAGTCAATTGAAGATGAAAGGTAAAAGAGTTGAAAGATTTCTCCTCTTTTTTCCTTGATGTTTACATGTTAAAACGCAATCAAGTCAGTCTGTTTTGTAATAAAAAAAACAAGTTTATTAACAATAAACTTGAGTGATAATAATGCGAATGAGAGAAACATTTTGATCTTCTCGAGAATCACTTCAACTCAGTAAAGTAGCTTTAACATTATCATCTTTTTACACCTTTAACCTTCACTGATCATTTTGCTCAGCCTCATCATCTCCAGTAAAAGCAACAGCAACAACAATAACAATGATAATAATAGGATGATTGGAAGCTGCAAAAGGAGACTCTTGACAACTAATTATTGATTAGTTTGGATTCATGATTTTTCAAGAATTGCAGTTTGGCAGCTTCAAGTGTGTCACAAAACCAAAATAAGCATCTTCATCATCATAATCATCTTGTCATTTGCACTTCTTTCATGTAAATTCCAAAAGAAGAAGAAAGAAGAAAAAAAGGAGAGAGAAAAATCAAGGTAATAATAATATAATGATTATCGCTTATTATTCAATTCCAACACTTCTTATTTCTCTCTTTTCATCAAGCAGACAGATAAAGTTGTTACCAGTTAGATGTATATTGATTCACGATGAAGGAAACATTTTCATGTATAGGATAATGGACATGATTTGGACATTACAATCAATAACTTGGACACTTGGATAAAGAAGCAAAGATTGTAATAGATGAACACACTGCTATAGAAAGACTCACAAAAGGTGTTGAATATTTTTGATCCATCGTCAGGGTATCCAGCAATTTTAATGCCATAAAAAGCAACAAGAAAAATAATAATTGAATCTTCATTTATTAACCTGACAACTCACACGCTGTGCGATGGTAAACAGCATTCAAGTGCAAAATATGTTTACCTTAAACAAGCGATGCCATTTATTTTGCTATTAACATTGAATCTCATTTTCATCATCATCGCTATTCTGTCGTCATCTTCATCATCTCCGTTATCACCATTTATCTTGCATTTTGGACATTTTGTGTGCTTTTTGGCCGTTTATCGTTTTACTTTGGCTGACAAACTTTTCAACTTGTACCTGCTTCATGTTTCACCTCATCTTGTAACTAAACCATGCACACACTCAACATTCATAAAGGTCAACAATTTTGAGCAAAGGCAAAAGAAAAGGCTTGACGAGTGTCCATAAACTGCCAAAAAAAGAGAAGGAAAAAAATGGAAGAGACAAATTTGTGAAAAGGACAGAGACGCGAAAAAGTGATAAACTCACACCGTGACAACGACAGTTGAATACACAAATACAATATACTCATTTATGCCCATATTTTGGCTTACAAATTGATTGTTGGGGGGTCATTTGTTGTCATTTCACACATAAATGTTGTGTTGGGTGGTGAACAAGTAAACTTGTCAAATTACGAGGTTATTACAAGTGAAAAAATATAATAATCATGATAATCATAATAACAATGTGAATGGCGAGAAGGACAAAAAGGAAAAACTGTTGTCAATTGTTATTCATAATCGGTGCCCACTGAGTTTCCACAAGATTTTGCGCTTTCTCTTTCGTCTTCTTTTATTGGTACATCAAAAGTCGAGATGACATTTTTTTAAACACAACACGCACACATTTACAGCTATACAAGCACACACACACACACACAGTCACACATATTGATACAAATCACCATTTGTCAAATTGAATCATTGAATAAGGAGCCATCATCATAATCATCATAATCAACATAATCATTCCATCGACTCGAACCTCTCTCATTTTGTCGTTGTAATTTGAGGCAGGCGAAGAAGAAAAAACTGGCAACAAGAGAAAGAAGAAGAAGAAGAAGAAGGCGAAATTGAATGAAACTGAACAAGAAAGGAAAGGATAAGAAAGGCAAAGAAAAGAGATTTGTGATTTCATGAAAAAGATAATAAAAGCGTGAAAATCAATGCACAAATCCATTTTAAATAAAGGATAAATTTGGGAGTGAAATTTACTTGACAAAAGGTACAAATTATTATTGAATTACAATCACAGGGATGTCACAATATACAAGATAATTGTATATTATGTGTAAACATAAACGTATCCCAGTCATCATCCTCATCATCCTCATCATCATCATCATCGAAACAATCGCAAAATCAGGTAAAGAAGGAGAAAAGGAAAAAGCAAACTGAACCAAGCTGGGAGTTTAGATGATATTCATTTTTGGCAAGATTATATTGTCAGAAATGTTATCATCATTATCATCATTATCATGAGCATCACCATTATCATCATTGCATTATTGTAACAAGGAGGAAGCAAAGGAAAAAGATGACGCTTGACATCTGATTATTGGTTGATGTTAGGAGAGTTTCATTCATCCCTATTGGTTAACTTGACTCTACCTCGTATCGATTTGTTGATTGCCCAACCTCGAAACTCGAAAAATAAGTCTTCTACTCATGAGCATTCGATTGTAAAGACAAGTTCTAACATTTTTCTTTTCTTCTCTTCCTCTAGAAATGGCAAGAAAAGAAAGGCAAAAAAACTGATTTATTCCAGCCAATTGATTCCACATTGAGTTTGGTGAGTTTTACCTCGAAATTTACTCATTCTTGATTCCCTTTCCTCTTATCATCATCATCATCATCCTTTCCTCTTTACTCATCATCCATATTCAATCAATAAGCTAAACAGAAAACAGAACATTTTTTCTTATTATCATTTTGAAAACAATTTCTCAATTCAATATTGTTTTCATCTTATTCATCAAATTTTCCTTCTCATGACCTTTTTCATTTTTTGTTTCATTGTGTTATTAACTATAAATAGTCTACTAATCTTGAATGCCATGAAAATGTTGAAACTTGTTTATAATCCTCAACAATCATCATTATTATCTTAACTCTTTAACTCTTAACAATTTTTATACCTTCCTTTTGCCTGTTTCCATGTTCATCATTTTCCGTTTTGTTTTGTTTCCTTTGTTCATTTTTATATTTATTTATAACTCAATATCTGCTGAGGATAAATATTTTGTGGAATTGAATTTCTGTTGAACAGAAGAAGAAGAAGAAGAAAAAAGAGAATAGAATGAATAAAGTGAATCAATTTCTCTATTCACATTGAAAGCCAAAACTCTTCTCTCATCCTTCCTCTTCCTTCTTTTTCCGTTCACCATCTTTCAAGGCAAATTACATGTTACATTCTCATCATCATCATCATGTTGTTGTTTTTTTACTCTTGATAATAACTCGGATAGGATTGGTTATAATACCTAGATATATACATGCTATAGGTTGGACTGAAATGTTAAACCCAATGAATTGAGCCCTATATCACTTGTCTCATCTTTTCTCATCTTCTCTCATCCACATTATCTTCTTTATGGTTCATAGTCGAGTATCTTCTTCCTCCAGCTTACGAGTAAAAATATTGATTTTAAGAGACAAACTCTTGGATGGAGAAGATGAAACTGTACAAAAAACTGATCCAACAAAGTCAAATCTTGTAAAGCTTTTGGGAATCCTCGAGAGATTAGAGCAACATCTTAACGCAATCCCGACAGTTTTTTACCATTTCACCCTCTTTCCATTCAATTTATCACTAGTCTTCTAGCATCCTCATCTTCATATGAATCATTTTTTTTCTGTCTACTCATCTTTCCTCTCTTTGCTTTCCTCTTTTTATTGACTTCAGTTAAGCTCTTGAACCGTGATTTACCAGCAAATTTGTTGAATGATTTTGTCAAAATAAGTTGAACAAATTTCACACAAACATCATTATCATCATCGCCATCATCAGCATCATTATCACTGTCATTGTCATTTTTCATCTTTTCAGGTACAACAAATGTAAATCTGTTTTCATTAAATGTAAAGAGAGAGTAAAAAAGGTAAAAAAAGCTCAACAACATTATCATTCCGTTCAAAGTCTTTAGCTGAAAAGACTGATAAGCTTACTAAATTAGTCTGTATTTACTGAGAGCAAAGGGCGTTGTAGGAAGTAAGATGATTACATGATGATCAGGGAGAAGAAGAAGAATGAAAAGCATAACTTCCATTTGCCATGTTTTACTGTCAATATTAATGGTGATGATTTAATTTACTGGTTAACATCCATTTACCAAGTTACCATTTTACTTCATCATTATCTTGTTCACCTTTTTTTCCCTGCCTTTTGTGTAACACAAGCCTTGAAACCTAATTAGATTGACTCATTTCCATCATCTTCATCTTTCACCATTTGTCCATTTTCAAAGGAAAAGCCTAAAAATTGTATTCTCATTTTCAGTTGAAAAGATTCTCAATATTGCTTGAAATTTTCAACTTTGATTGCCATTCTGTTGGTCATTGATAAACGGATAAACTTAATTTTGATTGAAAAGGATGAATGTATTTAAGTTTCAACCTTTCATCTTAATTACTAAATCAAATATTAGATCAACTCTATTTTGATTGATAAACATTTTCTTTATAATCTTGATGAATTAATGATATTTATTGTTAAATTGCAAGTCTTAATAGTCATAGTGATTGATAATGATGTTGATCTAATGGGAATGTTTCAGGATAATTATTTTGAGAGATTTGATTTTAAAGAGTTAATCATTTGTTGATGGCCAGTGTAAATCTGTATTACAAGTAAATCTAATTAGACCGGTAAAAAGCATTTAAATCAACAGCAACATTTTTCATTATAAAAATATTATCTTTTTTTGGGGATTCAATTCATTCATCATTATTACATGGCAAATGCACTTTGATATTTATTTATTTTGCTCATTTCTCTTGAGGTGAATAAAAATAATCAACATCAACAGTTAATCAAAAGTAAATATTTCAATTCACGCAAACAGTGTTAACTGGTGATTGATATTTTATTGCATTCAATATGAAGGTAAAAACTGAAAATAATAAATACTCGGATGAAAATGAGAATAGTAGACAAAAAAAGATTGAAATGGAAAAGAAAAAGAATGAGAAGAGAAAAAAATAAACAAAATAAAACATGTTATTCTCATTTAATGATAACAAGGAAAAAATCACTCAACAATCATCAACACGCAAAGTGAATGAATCAAATCACTTTAAACAATTGAGCCTCAATACAGGATAACCTTGCTAATGAACATTGTAACTTGGGTTGTTGAATACCAGAAAAGTGTTTAAATTAGTGTAAGTTTGTGCACCAAGATTGAATGATTAAGATCAGAAATTGATGTTGCGATCTGAAACACCCTTTAACAGGTCAACTGGTTGAGTTGAAATCATTGGGTTATTTTGCATTAATGTCACAAAAGGTTCCTTCAGTGTTCATTCAAAGCAAGAGATTAGTCAAAATCATTAAATCATTAGAGTTGTGACAACATTAAGCTCTTTAGATCAGGCAAAGTCGACTTTAAATTCATCGTTTTTTTGTTGCGACAAAAGTTGATTCAGCAACTGTTAACAAATGAATCATGAAATGATATTCATTTTGAAAATCATTTTTTAATTGATCTTGAGCCAGCTTCTTACAAAGCCAAGCTCAACCTGTCAAGTCATTTGCTCAATCACATTGACAGAAGAAACCAAGAAATCATATTTCTGGCTCAATCAGACTCTCAAAAGGTTATCCAAAACTTCTCGTTATTGTTTCATTGATTTCATCTAATTGTGTGTTAATTTTCAAGTTTTGATCAACGAATTTGTTGAAACTCTCGAAATTGAAAAACACTTAAAATAGACAATTAAAGATGTTTTTGGTCAAAAATGTAATATTGGGTTTAAAGTTGAATGCATTGTTTTGAAGTTCATTTATCATCCATTTAAACCCAAATTTACAAAATCAAGGTGACAATTTTTTCCTCTGTTTTGTCTTGCAATTGACCTCAATCATTATCGATTCATTTTCTGATTGCTTCACACAAATCAATAGCAATCAATGGAACTGAAAATGTCATTTTTCTCTGGGTAAAATTGGAGAAGTTGTTGAAAAGGAAAATTGAATCAATAGCAAAGGAAAAACATATTTTGTACTTGTTTTCATTGCAATTTTCTTGTTGAACTGAATTTACTTTTTTTGCCAACCCTGAACCTTACATGATTGATGTTGCGATGTTGATCATTTCTCTTTTACGGTTTAATGGTATAAAAATATTATCATCCATTTGGATATACTTTTATGAAAATTTTGCTATTTACAGATTTGGGTTCATCTTATCAATCATCAATTGAAACATTGATTCATTTTCACCATTAACGCAAACACACTCAACTGTTGATCAATAAACCATATGCGACTGTTACCTATTGATGATGATGGTCTTTGTGTTGTTCATGTCATTCATTGTTAATAGATTCTTCACATTCTTACCTGTTAAAGATTGTTAAGAGAAAGTTGAATTGAAATAATATTATGAATGTTGATGATTGCAACTTGTTTATCAACACACAAAAAACCGTCAACAGATTAGATGAAAGAGAAGAAAACAAACAAAATGATGAAAAATGAATGAATGATGGAAATGATGTTCAAGATGAAAACCTCCCTTTTCTCCTCCCAATCATCATTATCATCTTCATTTCACCCACAAAAGGAGGAGAGAGAGAAGAGAGTAAACATGGGAGGAAAGAAGATGAACGATGAAGAAATAAGTTATTTCATTATCATTCGAACATTTTCATTTCTCTCTTTTCATATCTTGTTTGATGATAATTACTGAACATTTTCTTGATGATTAATCACACAGATTGCTGGCTATCTGAGCGTCCTACAAGTTCTGATAATGATGATGATGATGAAGAGTAGAAACATTTTAAGATTGATGAGCTGTTGAAATTGACATTAACCAAGAATATGGTTAAACTATGGAAACACGGAAAAGGTCAATAAATAGTTTCTTTTTCATTTTTTTTCTTCTTTCAGATATTCTATTCTCTAGACTCAGTCTGTATATTTTTCATCGTCTATGGTCAATGAGAAGAGACACTTTATTTGGACACCATGTAAGTTGCAATATTACTTTTTGCTGTTCACTTCATCTTTTCTTGTCTTCATTTTCCTCAACTTTTCTCATATTTAACCTTTGTTTAGTTATCATTTTATATTATTATTGATAGCGATTTGCTGCCTGTTTGTATTACCTTAAGGCAAAGGTAAATGAAGAGAAACAAAAGTCGAGTTTTGTAGATGAAAAAAAAGTTTTTTACTTCAGTCAAGATATAGGTTTCAATATTGTAAATTGCCTTGCATGGCCTTTATGGAGTGGGGTAAAGGCGAATCCAACAAGAACAAAAATAGAAAGTTGATCGAGTTTGACTCAAAATGCATGAGAAGTAATGAAGGAATTGCAAAAATCGCACCTTTCCATTGCTTCTTAAAGCTTTCATATTCATTATCAAATGGTAGCGAAATTCAGTTAACAAAATCTCGTTCATTATCGAAAAAAGACGATCGAAGTTCAAACTTTGATCTCGATTTTCTCGAAAACTGTCAGAGAAATTTTTCAATAGCATTGATAGATTTAGCTTTGTGTATCTAAAAACTCACAAAGTTCCAACTCTTGTCTCAAAAGTCGAAGTTTCTGCCCATAGTCCTTGGACAAAGCGAAAAGCAAAGCATTTTCTTCTCGCATTTGAAAATTATTGACTCGAAAAGTTCGTCAATATCAATCGAAAGTACATTTCTCATTCCGTCCAAGCTCATTGAATAATGTCAAATAGATTTGTCAAAAAAGTTGAACCGATTCACAAGTTTCTTTACACTTGAAACTGCCTTAGCAAAAGACGAAAAAAATATTGAAAAAATTGAAACTCGAATTGTTGCAATATTGAGCAATTTGCTCTGAAAAGACGATGAATAATAAAATGACACTTTTCTTTCCTTGAACAGTTCATACAATCATCATATTCCCCACATGAACTTGAACAACATGAATCAATGAACCCACTCATCTACCCATTGACTTTTTTGCCCAAAGTGAAACAAACAAACAACCCAAAAAAGCAAGATGAAAAACGAAAGGTCGGAAAGGCTAAAAAAGCAAATTGGAAAATGAATTTGTACATTGAATCGAATTGGAATAAAATGGAACCGGAAATTGTTTAATACCTTGCGGCTGTTAATATCCAAAGGCACAAATGTTATCCCTTGATGAAACACACAAAATAACTCTAATATTATTATCATGTTATTAACTTGTTTATTTACATTTGTTACAGCGTCTATAAGTGATGATAATATTAATAAAAAAGTGGCACGCGATAAGCTCAATTGTAAATTAAATGAAAAACGTATTTACTCAATATTGATACAACTTTCGCCTTTTTTTCTGTTTCTTTTTTTCTCTCTTTTCTTTTCTATTCTTTTCTGTTATTGTTCATTTCATGATCAACAATATTGAATCTTGCTTGGTCTTTCACTTGGTCATCACTTTTGTTTGCTTTATGTCAAGTGCTTGGCTTATTTTGTCTTTACCCTCATCCATGTTTAACCATTCATTGTGATTCATTCAATTTCATTTACCTTACAGCTCATTAAACGATATAAACATTGAAACCTTTTTACATTTTCTCATCCAATTTGGTGTTTAATATTTTTCCATCTTTATCATCACGTTCATCACCTAAGGCCATGATCCATTGTTGCACATCATTTGGTTAACCAACAGTAATATTCAAGTGATGATAAACACACAAATGGCAGTTTAATAACTGATGCCATTTAACCGTTTTACAACCCAAAGACTATCACTTTGCTGCATCAATTTATCATCTTTCATCCAATAAGTTTCACTGAAAGGCTTCATTAGATTAACATTTTGTTTCCAGTTTTTCCACAGATTTTCATTGCTTCCAGATTAAACCCATTTCAACATGGAAAATCATTTCAACTGATTGCCTGTTAATGAGTATTTACTTGTATTTACACAGACTAAAGTAGTCTTCAACCCTTTCCTTAATCGTTTAGATTCTCAGTCAATTCAATCATTCCTCTCAATTCAATTTACTGTCAAAGATATAAATACACAAATGAACAAATTGACACTCAAGGTTTGATCAACCCTTTGACAAGCTCAAGTAAACTACTTAACCCAAAGTGAGTTAGACTTGTTTTCAGTTAATCTCTCATTATCATGAATGAATGGAAACTAATTTTCATCTTTTCCATTTCCAACAATTGCTAATGACTTATCATGAAATTCAACTAAACTTAAAAATCCAAGCAACTAGAGGCAAGTGCCAATAGCTTCCAAGTGAAATGGTTCAATGAATTATGAACAATTATTCGGTAGAAACTGTTCAATCTAATCAACAAGTTGATTGGAAATTAAATTTTCTCGCTCATTCTTGTTTGGCAAAAGGCCTTTTCTCCTAAAATAATGAAAAGAGTGCAAAAAATGGAAAAAATTTGTTCATTTTTCATTCTCTTCTGCTTACCTGTTCAATCAATGAAACATTAAAACGATACTCTTGACTGACTCCCAACAACATGATAATAGACAAATAAAAAACATATCACATTAACAGAGTTGATGATAAAATGATGATTCAATGTAATCCATTTCTGACCTCAATTCTGAACTCATCTGACCATCAGTCTAATTCAACCATTTTCATTGTAAAGATGAGTTTTCTCGTGTTTACCATTTTCAAAGAGTAAATCAAATAATTGTTTTCATTGATTGATTTACTTTCAACCTTTTCCTCAATTACAATTGAAATTACATGATTGTTACCTTATCATTGTGATGAAAATGGATAAAAAGAATTGAATCAAAATTGAAATTATTTCCGGTCAATTCATTATTAAAGGTGCAAAGGTTTGGATATTAAAACCTTCTCAAGCTGATCATCAGAGTATCAAAAGTGAACAAAAAAGTAATTCTTAAAATTGAAAGTTGATTGAAGCAGAAAATCAACTGAAAGATGAAAATGCAAATTGAACAATTAAATTGGCTGCTCTTGATTAATGAATTAAACTGAATCACATGGGAATGAAAAGTAATTTCCAAGTGATGCCATTAGACAGAGAGCATTGCATGACAATTGAAAATTATCACAATTGTTGCACATTTGGTGAACCTTGTTAAATGACAATTAAAATGTGAATAAAAGGTTGAGTTAAACGCCATGTTTACATTGTTAATTGTGCTCAACAATGAACAATCAGTGAACATAATCATTATCCTGTTAATCAAGGTTAATCAAGTTAAGAAGAAGAAAAAAAACTTCACATTTTTTCCAATTCCATTTGTGACTGTTCTTTGCGTGATTTCAACTAATGATGTTGTCGTCTTGATGAGAGTTATTAGCCATTTGGTGAGGATAAACGAATATGAATTTCCGTTGAGCGACAGAATAGAAGAGAAAAAGGAAAAGTTATCATTTCTGAATAACATCTATTATTACCTTTTTCCTCTTCTTTTGTCATCTTCATCATCATAACCATCTTGATTACTCTCATCGAATCACCACCTTGACCAGAATGTCAAACATGAATAATTGCTTTTTTCATGAACTTTTCTTTGCTTCTCCATTCTTGATTACTTTTGCCTATAAAAATTGGTCTTTCCTTTGATCACAATTTGTCTCTCTCATCATGTTCAACATGAAATGAAAAGGAAGAATAGAAATTTATCTTTTTCCTCTTTTCCATCTTTTCCTTTATCTTCATCATTATCACCAACCAGGTTGTTGATAGGTTATAAATAGTGTTGGCCTTTCATTTCCGATTTACTTGTCAAAACTAATTGAGCCAAGAAGAGGAACATGAATGAAAATGATCAATAAGGATGAAGATGATGATGAGAAAGTGAATTACCTTTTTCGAGGCAAACTTATTCCATTCAATGATCAACTTGATAATCTGTTTCTCGTCATCTGTGTCATCTTTTAACTTGTTACTGAATCGAGATTTTCCATGTAAAAGCATTCCAATTATCAGAGCATTTTCATCATAAAAATATTTTCCAAAAACTAAACTTTTTTTTTATTCCAATAAATTGAAAGATTTTTTTGATTCTTGCTTTAAAGCTTGCTTTTATCTGTGATTGTCTGAAAGTTGATGTTAATTGAATGATGATCAGTTGTAAGATGATGAATGAAAGGTAATTAATTAATGGTTTCAAATTGATTGTTGCCTGTTGCTTGGTAAATCTGTTTAAACTGATTGTTTTGTGAGTTTTTAATCTGATTGATTGGAAAGTTAATATTTTAGCAATTCAATTGATGTCTTAATCAATGTTAAACAGGCAAGGTGAAAGGTGAATCGTAATAATGATAAAAAAAATCAAAGTGAAAAGATGAATCCATTTTGATGGGTTTGTTGTTGCTGTTGTTTATTGCATCGTGAGATTGACTTTTATTGTTAAATGTTGAAGAAGAGGCAAAGTTTAGATTAAATGGTTTGGGCAAATGATGATGATTATGATGATGATGTGATCTTAAGATGGTCTTGTTGATCATATTTAGACACAATAAGGTGTAAATCTATTGTCAAATGTGGCATTGATGAAGAAAGAAGAAGAAGAAGAGAAAAAAATCAATACAATTGATGGTTTATTAAACAGGTTGTTGTTTGGGTAAATCATTGGTAAGCTATTTAATATCAAGAGGTAAATTTGATGATCATAATGATGGCAGAGTGAAAACAGTTTGAATCTTGTTGTTCTTCTTCTTCATACTGTTTACAATTCAATGTGATTAAGTTTGAAAATAATGTTGATCAAGACCAGAATTTGCACTTAAAAGGTTAACCTGGAATAAAAGAAGGTGAACAAGAAAAGAAATTTCAAGTTGATTACTTGTAACGCATCATTTTTCATTTTTGCTTAATGTGATCAACTAATGAACTGATTGCAACCCAATCTGGTGCTTCACCTTGATTCAGATTATTGACAGTTTTATGTGAATCTCAACTCTTTTTATCCCTTTTTTATGTCTCTGCATTCAATTTAATGACTGTCTTCATGTTGGACAGATTGAAGTTCAATTGTTCAATGTTTTTTGCACCAATTTCTGGAAACGAGATTTAAATTTTTTCTTTTTCTTCTTCTTTTCTTGAATCAATTGAAACTGTCAAGCGACAATTATTTAACCACTTTTCTTCTGATTCCAATGGTAAAGCCATTGGCAATTATCATTTTGACAAAGAATTTGCAAGACAAAAATGAACTAAAAAATGGAACCAAAGAGATAAAAATTTGAAAAGATATTATTCTTGTGTTGAGATGGATAACACAGTTAGAGTATAACTTTGCACAGATAAAGGATTTAAGACTATTAGTCTCAATTACCTTGGATCAAGGTTGAGAGACAAATGGTCACAAAAGGCTAGTTTTAAGGTAATTTCTGCCTTTGTCCTTTTGGCCAGGTTTACCTGTTGGACAATCAAATTGGCAGCAAAAAATTTAACAAACAACAAAAATAACAAACGAGACAAAACTGTTTCTTAAACTTACAAATTGTCCAAATATTTTGTCATCATTTTTGGTCAAGTTAAAGCAAAAAGACGCGCCTAATCTTGTTGCTTTGAAAAAGTCAAATTCATCTTTTTAAGCAAATTATGGTTAAACTTTTCTCGACTAAACTTGAAAACCTTTATTGTCTCTCATAACAGGCAGAGGAATGCCCGTTCATCACAATCAAAGCAACTCTAATCATCGCTATTATAATCAATCAAGTTCTTTATGTAACTCGATTTTCAGCAGAAAATAACGAAGAAATTAAAGATTAACGATTTCTTGAAATGATCCATAAAAAGTGAAATAAAACTTCCAAATCAGATGTAATTGAAAAGACTCTGAACTAATGAAACTGATCAGAAACTTGAACACTTTTCACTTCAGTAAAACTTTTGTCGCAATAACGATCGATATTCAATGTTGACTCTGACTAGCAATAAGCTCGACGATCCAAACTCAGATCCAAACGATAAAAGAAAATGAAATTTCTCAAAATTAAATCTCAAATCATTGAACTGGTAAGTGCTGATTCGAAGCTGTTTGAATTGATATGAATCTTTTGTAAAAATAATGCAAAATCCAATGACGAATCGACACTTTGGCGAATCAACGTTTCCAACATTTATTTACAAATCATTTGTTGAGCATTCGTTTTAATCACAGGAATGAAACTCTGATTTTCACCCAATCTTTTGATCCCACTCATGCTACCTTGAACCTTCTAACTTTACTGATTGCAAAAACACCTTTTATTGTCAAGTTCATTGTAATGTTTCACTTTGAATAACTTTCTTGTTATTACCTTGAAACATGGCATAAATGTAAATAGCCAACCTCATTATCACCATTTATGCATAGTTTGCTGTTAAAGAGCAAAGAAAAGAGGCAAAAAAACAAAACTCAAATTTTGCTGGTTCCTTCAATTTGTCATCTTTTTTCTTCATCTCTTCAGTTTTCCAGTCAAAATTTTGTTTACTTTTTAACCTCTCAAAGTAAAACCACATCACTCAATGTTGCTACTCTTGCTGTTATTGTTATCATTGATTTTGTTTGTTGATTTTTTTCCTCTTCAATCTCCTTTCAAGTTTATCATCATCAACTTTACACTTTACCCTGTCCAGCAATGGGAGTGAGCAAAATCCTGGCTAACAATCCTTTTCCAAGGCAACATTATTATGACAGTAAACGTGTCAAATCATCATCTTGATCGCCATTTTCACCATTTATCTTTTTCTTCTTTTGCTTCTGTTCGCCTTCCACTTAAATCACATCTTTTCTGTACTTTACCAGATCAACCACGATAATGATAAACAAACTGGTTCAACTATTCATTCAACTATTCAGTTTTATCATTCAATTTTTACCATTATCATGATGCTCTTTTTTTCACCTTCTTTTCTCTGTAAATAAATGACAAATAAATAATGATGTTGTTCATCAACTAAAGGTGAATCCAATTTACAGGCAAAAGTTGCAAATTGTCTCATTTTCGTTGCCATTTCCATTCTACTTTTGTCTCAACCTAAACTTATGTCTTATTTAATCAACTAGTAATTACATTTATCTTCAATCTTTACAAAGGTTTACCTTATTGAGCATTAATCTCTGTTGAACACTTTGAACACAGGATTCATTGTTAGCATCAAATTAAAGCTTAAAATGACACATTTAAAATCACTTACGATTGAGCTTAAAATTGTTTTAAATCCACAAGAAACAGCATTCAAAAGCTTTATGAGTTCACCCAAAACCTAATCAACTGAGAAATGCTTGAATATGCAATAGATTTAGACAAATGGCATCGATTTTAAACAACGCTCAACAAATGGATGCTTCCAGAAAATGATCTTAAGACCGAAATAGAGGTCAATGAACAAATAGCTGTGAATAACTTCAAATCTAAAATATGATTCTTCGAATCGAAAAGATCACCTGAGGTAGGGAAACTTCCAGCACTTATTATTGTATAACATTTGATTATGAACACAAATGATGAGAAAATGTTGAATGATAAAAACGCCCTAAAAGCAAATTACTTTCCCAAAAGCAAGAAATTTATTCGATTCAAATAATTTTCATTCAACTTTGTCCACAATCAGTTAATCGATTTTCTAGCAGATCCAAACAAGATCACTTTCGTTCCCTGAATATTTGCAATACAAGCTCAAATAGTGGATTGTAATACCTTTGATACTCTTGGACTAAAATAGCTAATGACTTTTACTAGATTGACTAATTGAAAAGATGGAAAAGAAAAGTCCTTTTTGAACTCTTTCTGAATAAATAGTAAGCTTTAAGAGCTTCAAATTTTACTAAATTAATACAAATAAAATTGTTTAATTTTCAATTCATTTATCATTTTATGCTAGAAACGTGAACAGCAAATGGCATCTGGTGAGGAAAATATTTACTATTTTCTTGGGTTTAATCAAAATTGTACAATGCCTTAGCGCCATCTCTTATCAGTAAGGTTGCGAATTAGGATACAACTTAAATGGAGTTAAATTGACAAGATTAAAGTAATTTAAGAAAATCAAATTTTCTGTTTCGGTTGAAAAGTTTTCGCCATTGCAGTTGATTTATATCTTTCCTAGAAGACTTTATGCACTGGGAATGAAATATTCATCACAATCAACAGATAAAATCCAATCAACTTGATAACTGTTACCAAGCAAAAGATTTTATGTTATAATAAACCAATTCTTACAAGTTAGACAAAATCTAATCAGTTTTTAACCAATTGTTTAACTTCCATGGGACGTGTTAATGAATTAATATTACAATTTGATACCAAATAAAGGATTAAACTTCAACTTTTCAACAAGCATCGGAACAATATTCTGCAAATGATTTTGATAACAATGGCAAACATTAATAAAGTAGCCTCTAAGCAGAAGAAAATCAAATTGTTTCGACTGTACTTTTAACAATCAAATTGCACATTGATCATCACATTACAATTGTAATCTTTTGTCCAAACGCAAAAAACAACATCTCATGATTAAATACAATAAAGCTTCATTTCATGACAATAGCTTGGAATAATCATTTCATTTTCCGAGTTTCTCATAATTAATCAAAATTAAAGATGAAGCTTTTTGCAATTTTTATTTTAGGTAAGTATTGGTTACACAGTAAATATGAAGAGATAATTTAACTCGAGTTAACTAACTTAATTTGAAATCTAAAAATTTAATTTCTCATTTATCTAAAGTTTTATCCGTTTCTTCTGTATGGACCGAGGGTGAAGTACCGCCAGAACAGCCTGCGCCCGAACAACCAGCACCAGTACCAGAACAGCCAGCACCGGTACCAGAGCAACCAGCGCCAGTACCCGAGCAGCCAGCGCCCGAGCAGCCAGCACCTGTACAGCCAGCACCAGAACAACCAGCACCAGCACCAGTACCAGAGCAACCACAACCAGCACCATCTCAGCCCGAACAACCACAACCAACACCGCCATCAAATGCTGTTGAGTTGGTTCAAGCAACTTCAAGATCTACTGAAATCGGTTCACTTTCTGATGCACCTGAAATATCTCATGAATACTCTGACTTTCGCATGTCCATTGACCATTCTTTGGGCAGTCTTTCGGTTCGAATTGCTGATTGGCAGGCATCAATGTTTGAACACATTCAAAACACTTTGACTCCACTATTATCCCAATGGAATGCATTCAAGGTTTCAATTAGAAACAAAGTGTCTACCGAAGAAGTTGTTATGCGAACTTCCGATGTCAACCATAGCAAGGGACTGCTTCAACAACAGGTCACCTTATTGAAAGAGGCTTTGGCTACTGGTAATAACATTGAAGATAATCTCGTGAAAATGGAGGAGCAAATAAATAGATGGAGGGATGACATTAATATCAATGCTGAAGGGGCACGAAGTGTTGAGCGCAAGACAAGCATGCAAGCTTCCCTTGAAACCATGGTCAGCTCTGCTCGAAACAAGATCAAGGACAGTAAATCTACCATTCAGAAGCTTTTCCAAAACCATTATTACAACATTGATAATGATCGATTGAGAATCAATGGACAGATTGATGCAGTCAACTTGGAATCCAAATCAAGTTTGAGTCAGCTCATTACTGAAGTACAAATGACCAACAATTCAGTGTCAAACAGATTGGCCCAAGAAGCCAACACATTCCAAGAGCTGATTGATACAACTGTGGCTCAGCTTCGACATCATTTGGATACCGACTTGATGGCCGTTGATCGGGAAAAGATTGTCAACCATCTTGATGAAAGGTCTCTGCAGTTGGATGAAAATTTGTTCATCGCTCATTCCGAGAATCAAATAGCTTTGGACAACTTTGTTCGTGGTCTTGTTCAAGACATTCAAAACAGCATCTATACTTTTGAGAATGAAATGAACGTCATCAAACAGCGATTTGAATCATTGACATCAGTCAACAAAGCCAGAGCCAACAGGTTGAGCATTCAAACATACAAAACCTTGGAGCCAGTCGAAAGTCTATTCTCATCTTTGTCCAAAAAGTTGCAAAGAAACATTGACAATATGAAATTTTAGAAGCCAAAACTTTATTTTAAAGTTTTAATTTCACTGACAAAAATTAATAAATAATAAAAAATTAAATTTACTTTATTACACTTTATTAATAGCTTATCAAACGGTTTATAAACTGATTTTAGCAGCAAAGCCATAAATTCAATAGGGTTTATTAATACAAAATGTACTGAACTATTAATAGATGGAAATCCAATTTTTCCTCATCGAAGTTGAAAAATGAACTTACTGGAAATGTTTCAAATGATCGATACAGTACAATTTAATTCTGATTGTAATTAATTTTATTTGAAACTCAAAACAATACAACTTATAAAGATAGCATAAATGAAATAGTTATCAACTTTTATTGTTTTGAGATGAACAACTGAATAATCTGACAAGGGGTAAAAAATATTGAATCATAATTGACATTCACTCAACAGTCATCATTGAAATGAAATGTCCAATTTTGATCCTCGTAACTTTCATTCGTTACATTATTGGAAATATTTGAATATGAATAAATTGCATTATAACTTTGTTCTTGTACACAGAATCGAGGTTGATCAACATTCGAGTCTTTATAATGAAATGTCCTTCATGCAAAGAACTTCATATTCATCGACAATTCCGTTTACTTTATATGTCACATAAGATTTATGAACTTTACCAATGGCAACTTCATCATCGTAATAAGTCCGTACAATGGGCACTTCATTGTAAAATCCTGTATAACCACCGGTTAAAGCACCTGAAGGTTCATTACCTTGAGACTCTCTTGCCCAAATTAAAGATGATTGATCTTTCATCGTCAATATTTCGAATCTGGAATATTGATAGGCATTTTCACCATGATTAACGACGCACTGTCTTATGCTCGGAATAAACGCTCCAGGGATCGGCTCGTAGTCAGCATTGTCCATCCACACCTCATGTTGAGCTCGACAAACGTAAATATTTTCATTTGTACCAGCAACTTGTCCGGCTAAAACTGCATCAGTAAGTTCAGTATCTTCCTTATATGTAACCCATTTCGGAATATTCTGACTGGATAAAAGTTTATCTGTCATTGCAAGGTTAATCATTTGAATAAATTCGCGTGTTTCAATACCAAGGAAAAGTGGAAATAATAAAATAACCAGATCAGTATTATCAGTTAGAAAATTTCAAAAAAATAATTTCAGAAGTGAAAGTACTTACATTTATTGAAATAATTTACTTGTGATGGTTTACTGACTGTCACGATAATTCCGACGCAAATGGATATAGCGAGAAAGGAAGCAGCAAAAATCCCAACAATTTGTTTTCGAGTTAATTTAAATTCCATTTTTGTCTTTATTTCTTAAAACTGGTGACAATTTCAATGTAGTTACAAAGAGTTGCAGCCAATGTTTTAGTGTGGATTGAAAAGGATGCTTTTCCTTGACTTTATTTTCATGATCTTTGATAATGAATTAAAATGATATTCAATTGTTTCTTTTCTCAATACATATCGGTATGAACAAAAGAAATTAACATTTCATGCGATAATTGATATCAAACTTGGCTACTGACTAGTGGTTAGGCGATTGAATTTCAGATAAATGCAAACGCCTATTAACTATGAATAGAAATTGTTACTGCAAGTAAATCACAATTGACGGTAATATTTGTTAACTTGGACTTTAAATTAAATGAAAAATTATTGAAAGCAAATTGAATAGTAAATTGAACAAAGAAGCTTAGTTTAAACAAGAACCAGAAATTATTTAATCAATGTTCAGTCCAAAGATTCAATATATTCAGCTATGAATGCACATAAAGAATAAAAATTGTAAAAAGAGTTTGAAATTTAATTTATAAATTATTTTATTCATGTTTGGTTTCAACCCGAAAAAAAGCAATGTTGACGAAAAATTGTATCCATTTCTTAATAATAAAAATACAAATTGATAAATTTAATAATCAATGCAAAATAGCTGATATTTGGGTTCACTCAAACAATTGTCGATGGAAATTATCCGCGTGCACGTGAATCACCTTGTTCGAGCATAAAACCCGAATTTTCTTGGCGAAAGGGTTCGTGTTGCTTGCAAACTGCAACAATGAATTGATAAATATTTAAACGCAAGTAAATGTTAACCCATTCACGCTCATTCCCTGATCTGTTGTTGGGAAGCAGACAGTTCAATTGACCATTCAACGCTTCATCTGCGACTAGTTGCGCTCTGCGATTTGTAAAAGCTCTGCTTTCTTTGTGGTGACAGATAGCTTCGGAACAATCTGTTTCATCCAGGAAGTCTGTATGGATCAATGTATAAAAACAATAGAGATGTTTGTCATCCGAGCAACGTAAATCCGAACAAATAATGAATTCATCGCCATTTTCAATTATAGACATCACCTTTTCTTTATTGAAACGATCGTCATCTGTCAAAGTTCCATGGCTGTGATGAAAAAAGGTTGATAAATTAGTTTCAAGCTACACAAGGAGTTGATGGAAAAGTTGTTACCTTTTTAATTTAAAATCTGAGTTGTAAAATACGGACCATCCAACTCTTTCTTCTGGTATAGCAAAGATTAAAAAATAAGAGTACTCAATAGGAATTCCTGTGATGGATTGCAGCTGTTGGAGAGATAAAGAACCAGAATATTAGTACAGATTTAGTAGAAAAGGATGGAAATTTAGTTAACTGATAAATGTATATTTACCTTTCTAAATACACTTTGCTGTCTCTGTAAGGCAGTCTGTCCATCGGACCAGTCAATTGTAATTTCATGGTATTCTTCCTCCAATATTTTTACTTTTATCGTAACTAAACATTGAAATTACAGACACTTGAATTAATATTTGCTAAAGATAGTTTGATAATCGAGACTTACCTTTATCACTTGGCGGCATCTCGTATAATTTGAAATAGAAGTGAAAAAATGATGGAAAAGATGTTTTACTTTAAAGTTGAGTTTTCAAAATGAGGAGTTTTTGAAAGATGTTTTAAAAACATGGGCGATGCATGGTTAAAATTTGCCTACGTTTTGAGCTCCACCTGAAAATCTGAAAAAATATATGTTGGGACCAATAGTATTTTGAACACTTTGAAGCGGGAATTTTATTTCAGGAATTGAACATAAATGCCTTTAAATACATAAACTCTTTAAAACATCAATATTCTGGATAATCGGATAATCGGATTAGCTTTCAGTTGGAAATGGAAAATGGTTAAAACAAAATTCAACTGCACTGGTTTCAAAATGACCAATTTTCTTGGAATTAAATTCCATGGTGGGATAAGAAATTGTACCAGACTCGAGTTTTTTCCATGATGGCCACTTTTTATGTCCCAAAGATCCAGGTTTGCTACAAATTAACAGCAATTAGAAATTAATTAGAGATAAATATCACATAAAAAATGTTGAAAGGTGTAAAAATAGTTCAACTTACTCTTTTTTAGCAAAATTGGTCCAAGATTCCATCATAATAAAAGATACAATTACTTCTTCTTTGGTATGATATTCAACTGTACTGAGTGGGTAACCAAAAACAAATGGATCATCGTCAGCATGAGTTGGTGGTAACCAAATTTTATCAGGGGGTGGAAAATTATTAATCGATTTGATTGGTTTTTGAGTTAGATAATAAGCGTACACAGATGCTTGTCCATTTAGAATAAGATCTCGACCATAAACATAAGTTGGGCAAGTTATCAAGATATCACCAATTACTTTGGAAAGGATTAATCGAAGTTCAGTTGAATTGTTTGGATCAGCATTACTGAAATACAAGTTCATTAGGTAGTCAAGTGAGTAAGGATCTGATCTAGTACTCAAAACTTTTCGAACTAAACTTAAAGTCAAGTTCTTTGGGTTAACAGGGTCAAAGAGTACAGGATCGATTTCAGCGGCTAATTTTGCTGCACCTTCGTATTCAATAGCTCCTAAAAATATGTTGATCGACGAATCCACACTATGGTTATTGATTAAATTCATTGGAACGTCCAATAAGAAATCATGATCCACAATAGGAGCAAAAGTTAATGTATCAGCTGCTTCATTTTGACCAAATTGATATGACGATAGACATGATTGCAGTTGATCTATTTGAGTACAATTGATTTCTTTAAGAAACTCTTTTGGTACATTTGGACCCATTAAACGTTTACTGGTGTAAAACGCACCACTCTGAAGGACAGCATTTCTAAACAAACCCTTTGAATATGGCGAGACAAGATGAGCCGAAATAGCCAGTCCTCCAGCAGATTCACCAAAAACTGTTACTCTACCAGGGTCACCACCAAATTTGATGATATTGTCTTTAACCCATTCAAGAGCCAGCTTTTGATCCCAAAGACCCATGTTACCAGGAATACCATTTTCAGGTAAATACAGGAAGCCGAGTGGACCCAGACGATAATTGATTGTAACAATAATGACATCATGTATAGCCGTTAAAATGGTACCATCAAAGTTATCAGGAAAATTTGCTGAACCTCTAAGGAAGGCCCCGCCATGAATCCAAACCATAACAGGTCGAAGTTTGTTTTTTCCATTTTTAGTATCATTGGTTGCTGATGAAGTTACAAACACATTCAAATAGAGACAATCTTCAGTTGAATTTTTACCCTTTTGTGAGCAAATCGGACCCCAATCGTTGGCTTGTATCAATCCTTCCCATGGCTTTTTTGGCACTGGTTTAACAAACCTAAGTTGACCCAATGGTGGTTCAGCAAAAGGTATACCAAGAAACTGATCAACATCAATACCACGAAAAGAAACCGTTCTACCTCTGACTAAACCAGCTGGAAGCGATACGATTGGATCAGCATCCAATGCGTATCCGTAAGATAAAACATTGACCAAACAAATAAAAGGCAGGAAAATCAAATAAACAACTGTTCCCATAACTTAATATTAACTTTAATTAATATTTGAACTTGATATAATTTTCTCTATTCAATGTTGTTGAATCGACTTTTTTGATATACACCCAAACCTCGTATATTTTGCCTTTTTGGAGTGCAGACATCTAACGTTCAAAAAATAAAATGAGCACATTTTTACTTAGGGTGACTGTTAGTTACAGTGGTTCACAATCAAATGAGCTCACTTTTTGACTCATTTGAGCAAATTTTATTTCCAAAGACTGTAATATACAGTCACCGTAGCTAAAAATTTTATCATTCTATTTTTTTGACCGTTAGATGTCTGCACTCTAAAAGGGCAAAATATACGAGGTTTGGGTGTAATGATATTAATTAAACATCTTTTATGTCACCGAGATTCTAATAAATTAATTTGAAATGTAATTAATTGATGTTGTCAAGCTATAAAGATATACTAGTCAATTTAATGGATCATTACTATGCTCACCTAAACTTCTGTCTTAATATTGATACAATCAGATAAACATTGATGATGAGTTGAACATTGGACTTGCCTTTAAATTGCTATCATCCGTTGTAGAGTCATTGTTTTTATATAACTAATTTATTGTCAATTATCGGTAATCAGATGATAATTTATGTCTACATCAATCCAGACGCAATAAGCAAACAAGTAAAAATCAAGATCAATCATTCATGGCTTGTAGATCAATTCACTAGTGTCACAAATGCAAAGAAAAAAACTTAACATTCATCATTGAACATACAAATGGGTTACTTTTTTTGCCAAAAATTAGAAGCCGATAAGTTTTATCACCGTCAAGTTTTGCAGATTGGCTATTCAAATTGGCTTCAATCTTGTAGTAACAATTACAAAAGGATGGAACGCATTTAGTAAAGTCTTTTATTTTCATTAGCAAGATTAGGTGATAAATAACGTTTGAAATATCAAAATTAAAGATTGAATAATGGCAGGTAAACAATTATTGATTCAACATATTCAATCTGCTTTTAGGATGGGTTAACCTTTGAATTAGTTTGTCCTGTTTTAGAGTCATTGATGACTCCCCAAAGGTCAAATAAAAGATCTTCATTGAAGCCAAATATCTGTAAATCAGAATCACCGATAGCCATAACAAAATCATGCGGATTACCATGAGTTGAGCCAGTTTCCCAGATTTGAGTTGCAAGCTCATTATCATGAATTCCCATGAATGATTCGAGTAGAACATTAATTTTCTCAATAACAGAAGTGGAGAGTTCAGATGTTGAGCTAACTGGTGAACCATTTGCACGCAATCGAAGAGTTTCCCGTCCAGAGCCTAAATTAGGTGGTTGGTTATTGGGTACCAGACGAGGACCAATAGAACCTAAAAGTAAAATTCAAAGCAAAAAATTAATAACCTTCCAAATTAAGCTTGGACATAAACTTACTGAAGCCTCCTTTGCTAGGTTCAATAAGTCTCAATGTAAATGTATGACCAATGGGCAAATCTTTTAACGCTTTAGCGACTGAGAAATGGCGACTTCCAACGAAACATTTACCTTCAATCTTTTCAATTACATCGCCAACCTAAAGTTACCAAAAAAAGGATTAAAGTTAAAAATAGAAAATTTTAATGCATCAATTATTTCTTTTCCGTCAATGGAATGAAAATTTGATTTTAAATTTACCGAAATGAATTTGATTGAATCAACCAAACTACCGGGTTTTATTTTCTTGATAAATGAATAACCAGTTCCATTGTCAGTAATTGTCAAACCAAGAAGCTCTTCGTTTTTGGTTAACTCAACTTCCTTTGGTTGTCCTTTGCAGTGGGCAAAGATGAAATCCTCTAAGCCAATTTGCCCTCCAAGTAACTGGTCCATGTCAACTTTAGGTGTATTCAGAGTACAATAGAGTATCTATTGAATAAAAACAAACAATTAGCACATTAGCTTATAATAAAGGGACGTGACCAGGAAATGTCATCGCAATCGGATCCTTTTGTGCTCTTGTAAAGAGTCAAAGTCAATCTTTTTCATTGACTGGGTCAACTCTCTTTGTTTCTTGAAATTTTTCCTGTATTCATTGTTAAATATTTAAAAAGTAACCTTTTATCAACTATTTTTAGCTGTTCAATTGTGCTAACCTAACATTACATGATGAATGATTAGCGAAAAACAAGGCAATTTTGTTGAAATTGTTGCATAAAAATGTTTCGATTTGGTCTCAAAATTAAATAGTTACCCAGTAAACAATGAAATTGAGAGCAATTTACGGACCGTTAATTTGGTAAATTTTGTGAAAAGGTAAACCTTCAATTTCAATTGCTTTAGTTTTAATTTTCAGGGTCAACAATTAAATTTTACAATTAAATCTTTTTCATTGTCTTTGTTTTTGTTTAAACCTTTTCAAGTTTAACCAAATGATAACCTACTAAAAAAGGAATAGCTGTAATATTTTTAAGTGGCTAAAGAGTCGGAAAGGTCCTCAAAAAAACGGCAACTTCAGAGGTTGAATTTTTTCAACCTTTGCCAAGTGACTTCAAGTGTTTGCTTTTGAAATTTTTCAATCTTTAACTAAAATTTATTGGATTAGATTGAGAGGAAAAAATTGATTTACAAATAAAACCTTGTTTTTTACGTGATCCAGGTAAAATATATACAAGTAAACAACAATTTACCTTTCACTTGACTGATTTGACAATTAGTGAACAAATTGGCAAAGCAAATTATTTTTACAGGCAAAGAAGCATAACGAAACTTTCCTTAAAGACTGTAATTAGGTTTTACAGATATTTTTAGATTAACTTAGCAAAATTTTGCGCTAATTTTTGTGGAATTGATTAGCAAATTGATTGGAAAATTGTTTACTAATTGAATTAGGGAAGAGGATTCATCTGTTGTTTACCTGTTCAGTTGGAATGTTGAATGTTGAAGCAATTTTCTCGTAAAGCTCTTTCATGTTGGAAAAGCCAGAAATCATTTGAGTCGGACTTCCATGAGCTAATTGACAGCGAAAGGTTAATTTTAAAAACGATGAGCCAGGTTTACATTGTTGCCGATTGGTCGGTTCACCGGGTGTGAATGTTGATTGGAAAGAGCAGTTTGTTGAATCATTTTTGTTCACATCACTTAGTGTTAAATCAATTTTATTGGCGTCAACTTTCATTTGTTGATCAGTTGATTCCTTGGTTTCGCGACTTGATTCACAGCTATTAGTTGCCAATGATTTGTCGATTAATGTATTTGATGCTAATTTTAGTTGAACTGCTGATGTTAATGGTGTTGCATTTGATGACAAATTTAATTGACTTGAAATTGTTTTATTTGAATCATTGTTTAACTGGCTCGTCAATGATTGATCAGACGATGAACTTTTATCAGTATTTATGCTTGAATCCTTTTTCACATGTGAATCGTTTTTCAATGAAGACGACAACTTATCCACTGGAATTGTAGTTGCTGTTGAAACACATTTACTGCTATTTGAAGTCAACTCTTTCCTTCGTTGTCGACTGAAAAATGATAATTGAGATAACATTGTTTAATTAACACTGAGAGAAGTTTTTTTTGGTGATTTAAAGCGTATTTGATGGAAACAGAGAGTTTGAGGTTTTCATTGACATTGAGATTACACCAAAACACTGACTCAAGATTGAAACCAGGTTCAAATTGAAGTTACTAAAAGGGCACTTTGATGAATAAATAAACAACTCGGACTCTTACCAACGATAATGAACTGATTATGGCGCACTATTAAAGTCTAATTCTCCTCCTTCATAATCTTTTCTCTTCTTTATCTTCCTCCCATTTCATCTGCTTACTTGTTTTGTCGTTAAATGCACAAAACCGGAACGTAAACTGTAATGGAAACCTGAACAGTATTTATATTTATATATCACAGTGTACATATCACAGCATAAGTGACTCGGATCAGTTCACATCAAATAGTTAGTAAATTGAAAAATTTGTGTTTTAAATAAAAATTTTAAATTCATGAAACATTTTCAGGCCCAAATATCTTGTAAATATCTTCCTTTATCTCTAATTTGATTCATTAGGAGTTTGGCAGATTCGTCTGGTCCAAGGTTTGATTGGACAGCATCGACAAATGCATTGAAAACGTCAATTGAAAATTTCCCCTGATCTCCACAAACATAGATGTAAGCATTTTTTTCAACGATAAGTTTATAAAGGGATTCCTTGTGATCCATTATAGCATCTTGAACATGGAGAATACGGGAATCGGGATTTTCTCGAGAAAAACAAGCATGAAATTCATTTAGAGCGCCTTTTGCTTTGTACTTTTCCAGCTCCTTGGAATAAATAAAGTCTTTCAAAGAGTGTCGACATCCATAAAACAGCCAGCTGTTTCCTACATCAGATGATTCATCAGCTAAAGCTAGACATTTTTCTCGATGAGCAAGAAAACTTGAAAATGGAGTCACACCAGTACCAATAGCTACCATAATCATAGGGTATTCAAGTTTAGGAGGAACTTTGAAATGGTCATTTCGCTTGAGAAAAACTCTGAAAAATTCTGGACAGATAGAGGCAGCTTCTGTCAGAGAAAAATCTTTGGTTCCATTATTTGTTCCTTTTTGCCAAATTTTAAACATTAATCCAGTGAAAATTCCGAAAAGTTGAGTATCCTGTCTGTCGTTGATTTGCTTTAAGAATATTATGTTGAATGCAACTCTGAATTTGTTTTGATCGTCTTTTAAGTTCATGAGAGAGTAGAATCTTGGAACCAAACCAGGAACAATTGTAAGAAAAATATCGATTGGAGGTGTACACGAATCGTACATGATTAAAATATCGAGAATAGTTGTTTTCGTTCGAATAATTTTTCTATAATCTTCAATACCTTCCCGACTAGCAAGTTTATGCAAGCATTCTCGATGACTTTCATTTGAACAATAATCCCCCAAAATTTTGAGACAACTTTTTTTGGGTATAGATCGAATTTCTAGATAATATTTTATCAAGTTAAATAGAGTACATCTCTTTGGTAGATGAGAATGAGTCGAACTAGAGATTTCCACAGTACAAGTTGATTTGTCTTCTAGTTTGAGTGATTTAAGGACCAAATTAACTTCATAATCTGAGTTACCAATAATAAATCCAAAAGCGTCACCGGGAATCCAGTCTATAAAGTCAGAGTTTGCTTCAAAAGTTGCTTCCAAGATTATTTTGTCATCTTTATCCACAGGTATATTGTTACCAGCAAGACATTTTAAATCAACCAATTTTACTTTGTAAATATGAGAGTCCATCAATGGATACTTTGGGAACGTCAAGTTTTCGCAATCAGCATTAAAATCATCAGGATTTTTTAAAATTATCGACAATGAATCATTTTTAAAGGTCTTTGGCAGTTCATGAGATGTAGGTTGCCAGCTTTTGTCAAATGTTATCAGTTCATCGCGAATATTCAAACTTTGTATTAAAGAACCATCCAGCAGTTGTTGCTCCTTGCTATGATTGAGTTTTCCTATTGATAATTCACGATGAAGTGCCTCCATTAAACCAGCTAACCAAGGAGTGTAGCCTAATTCAATTCCAATCGAGTCGTCACCAAATGCTGAGGGGTGAAAATTGAAGCAACATAACAAAAAAGAAAGTTGTAAATAAGTTCTTGCAATTGAAAGTTTAATTAGATCTTACCAGTTTGATACAATTGCTTTCCACCCAATTCCTGTAGCTTTTCGTCCAACTGTTTACCAAATGTAGCAAACCGTTCGTAATTTGAGTTTCCAAGAGCAAATAATGAGTATTTAAGATTTTTAAGAAAGTTATTTCTAGGATTTGCTTTGCGACACAAGTGTCTCCAAAAAGGCAAAGTATTGCAAGGAGGTTCCCCTTCGCCTACGGTAGGCACAATCATTATGACCAAAGTTTCATCTTCAATGACATATTTAGTCCCAATTAAATCGAATGAGTAACAGTGGATTGTAATTCCATTATCGCACGAAGCAAAATTAGTCTTACAATTTTGAAAAATATCTTGAGCGAGAGACAAGGCTTTACCGGTTTGTGTCCCAAATAATATTACTAAGCGTTGGTGAGTGCCAACCATAATTAATATGAGCAAATAAACAATTCATTAACAATTAGAAAACAACCTAAACAAGACAGAAAAAAACTAATTATAAACAGCATTTAAACAAGATAAACAAAAAGCTATAACAACCAGTAACTGTGGTTACTTCTCACCTAGTTACAACAACCGGTTACATTCTGGTCACACAATTTCTACCGCAATATTTGAAAAGAAAAAATTTTTTTTGCAAAAGTAAGTTTACATTTATTAGCATTATTTACATAAATCAGTGCATGATAGCCGCTAGTTATTGCGCCTAATATTTTTCTTTATAAACCCTATGGAATGGTGATATGATAGTGAATATACAAGGCTTCCCCATCGTGCATCTAACCATCATATCACCTCGCAATCGTTGTTTAATTATACATAATTCAATAGTACAAGGGAAAAACTCTTTTTTCTTTTACTGAACAAAGGAGTGCGCAAAATAATAAAACAGATCTCAAATATTCAAAAATCAACACTGGATTCCAGTGCAAAAAAGTTTTTTAAAAAAAATGTAACATTTTGTAAGCCTTAATTGGTCAATGAATCAACAGCTTTTTACCGATTTGATATCGCAAAATCATTTCCAAATAATGTTATTTTCGCATAACATCAACCTGGATGCGCATTCTAGAAGGAACGGAAAATTAGCCAATTAACTGTTCTAATTTCAAATTATCACAATGCCAGATTCAGCAACTCAAACTTAAATATGATTATATCAAGCTGATTAGCATGTTCGAGTGCGCGTAACGTTAAAGATATTGAAACTATTAATGTTCAAACAAACAAGACTGGGTAAATAGTAAAATTGGATAGGTAGTAGATGAAAAAAATTGTTAACATTGTGAATAAGTCCTTATTTATTTTAACAGCGTTTTATCAGTTTTACCACAGAATCATTTAAAACCTAATGTTTTCAGTACATGATCAGGAATGAAATGAAACAATACAAACAAAGGCAAACGATTACTGTACAGATGATAATGAAATTGACTTAGCAACGAATTGAATAAACAAATTATTTGCATTTAAACACAAATAACGCGTAAAGTGCAAGTTAGCAAATGTCAAATGCAAACTTAATTAAGTTAAGGATGAATAAATTAAAATTATTAGATTAATTAGATAATATAAATTGTATTTAATTGCAAGAAAATTCTCGAAAAATTAAAGGAATTCAATGTTTAATCATCTGATTCTTGATTTCCGATCAACATATGTATATAAATCGATCGTTGCAATCAAGCTATACAGTTTAGAAATCAGTCATACTAGTTTTACTAAGAAATAAGTGATTGAATCATTGCCATCCACAATGAAATTGTTTGCTATTATTTTCTTCCTTTACAACTTTGTATTAGTTTACTCTCAAAGTGGTATCATACCAAAAAGTCTTGGGGACTATGTTAACGAAGCACAAGCTAACGCTACGAAAGCTGGTCTTGGTGCGACTCCGAATCTCGCTAAATTAAGTGTCGGTCGTGTCGGTCGATAAATGTTATGCAATTAAAAATGTAACAAATAACCATGAATTCATAGGCAATTACATTTCCTTAGAAATTAAAACTTTGCGATTATACACCATTGTTTTGCGTCTTTTCCTAACGCGGTCAACTAATTTGCAATTGTCGCGATGCATTACCAGTATGCATAATCCTAATCACTCTCATTTTATCAGTTAACGCTTATCATCTTCTCAAATCAACTTCAATTTCATAAAAAAAATTTTCAGTCCATTTTACTTTCGAGAGTTATTTCTTGTATCAGCTCTTTGCGTGTATAGCCCATCTCTTGACTTTATTCAAAATTCCATTCAACTTTTCAAGTCTCAGTACAGCTCAATTGAACATTATCTTTAATTGCATGGTCATTAAGACTCGGGAGGAATTTAAAACAATAATAAACTGCTTCTTGAAGGAATATTGATAGACCCAGAAAGTGACACAGGGATGAGGATTAATTCAGTATAACATTTCATTCAATCAAAAAAATATCATATGTTAAAGGGTGTCAGAAATAAAATGCTTGAAAGGCAGAAATTAAACTAAAAGTGTGTCATCTTTAAGTTTCATCTTAGTCGTTAAAACTTTACCTCTTTCCTTGATTTTGACAGATAAAATGGTGCATAGTTTTATCAAAATAATGATCCAAAATTGCATTTAAATAACATCAGCACGGATGCAAACTCTAGAAGAAACTGACAAAAATGCAGAAAATTAGCTAATTATCAAACATTTATTAATATTTGCACTTACCTTTAGCACAAATTGTTTCGTTATTTAACCATAATCACCGATCTGGATGCCGTTTGTGGGCAATATTATCCTATTTAAGATTTCAATAATCTGAAATGGTAAAATTTACTCCATTGTGCTGCATTAATTCAATATTAATGATAGGCAAAAATGATAGGTTACCTGTAACTTCATGATAATAGGCGTTCTTCTTTTAGAATAAATTCGATGCCACTTTGGGTAGAGGCTTTCGACCTGATAAATTGAAAGAAAAATGATTATTAAGAATATCAGACTTACCAGAAATCCAAACAAAATCAGAATAAATTGCCAACAAAAACTAACGAAACAAAAGCTAATTGCGTGTCAATTCAGCACAAAATAAGCTTACTGCCACCATAGTAATGAAAATCCAAATTCCAAGTGAGCCGATGAGATCGTCAATTAGTTCAGAATGATTTCTGGTAATTATACCAAACTGTATGAACCAAACCGACTGAAGAGCCACTCCAATGTAAAAATAAAATACAATAAAACGTATTTTCCTGAAAGTTGAATCAAATTCATTGAACAACATAAAGGTTTGTTTCATGATATAATTGATTTCTTTAATGTGCACCTTTTTCCTTTTGAGTAACAAAGCCGTTGTATATTTTACCGATTTTAAACGGAAATAAAAAAATCCACAATAAATAGCACAGATCAGACCATGACCAACGTATTGAGCAGCAAACCAGATTCCTAGAGGTGTTAAGGTTGATGTCCAACCAACAGCAAAGAGTGTTGTTTTGAGGCAAAAATTGTTATATTGGGCGCACCAAAGTTCATAGTTGAAAAGTACTACACAGAAAGGAATGGTCATGAGAGTGGCACTGTTATGAAATGCACTGATCAAGTAAACACAAATCATGAATCTTTGCTTTTGTTGTGCTACAAACGAAAAATATAAAGACGTATTTTTCAAAAAAAGTTTTATGTTGGTAATTGTGCCAACGAAACCATATCTTTTCTCGGTTAATATAACGTATTCATGGGTAGCATGCATGAATAATAAGCCAACAAGGCCAGCTATCAACAAAACATCTCTGTATTTGCAGTTTTGTGCTATATCGCCCAGATAAATGGAAACTTCCTCGTCAGCGTTTAGCAAAAAAGTAAATCTCACAATATGAACGAGTGCGAAAGTGCGAATGAACCAGTTACCATAGTCAACTTGTTGATTAATCAATGTGATTCTATCAAGAATTTGATCAAATCCAAATCTCAATGTTTTAAAAAAGTTTATCTGTTGCTCCATTGTTAAAAAAGATTCTAATACGAGCTGTTCCAGTTCATCATCATGAAACTGCTTGCCAAATATAAGTTGAACAGCTTTTATCTGATTGGACATGAATGGCACGAACATGAGATTATAAAACTTTCGTTCCATTTTTTGTTGCAAAATACGGATTCGCTTACTAATTGCAAGCATCCAATTGTAGCTGGAAATGGAGACTTGATCAAAGATTAGAGAAACTTCTTTACTCTTTGCTTTTGATGTTGACTTATCAAGTTTACATTTGTTTGAATAAATTATGAACTTGAGTATTAATTCAAAAAGATCACTATCGATTGACCAATATCGATCATTAGACTTCGATTTCAATTTTTTACTACCATTGATCAATTGGAATCATCATGCTTAATTACTTTGCATGCATTGAATAATTTCAATAAAGCATTGAAAATTAATTCATAGTTTTTTTTGTTGCAGTAAACAGATAGATTCACCTGTAATTTTAAAATAAAACTAGTCATTAAAGATATAAAAATATCATCGAGCAATTGATCGTAAGGTGATCAACGCCTGAATTATCATCAATCGTAGTTTACTGTCAACTTGAAAACATTGAATAGGTGGCTGTAATTTTTCCATGCAAATTATTTTTCTGTGTGCTAACATGATAAGAACTATTCAATTTTTAAGCTGTAAAATTGTGAGAAATGTATTAATAAATTATATTGTATTCATGATAAAAGACTCTTAGCACAATATCAGCCAATAAGTGCAAAAAACAATTTCATGGAATATTATGCAACTGTGAATTTCTTATAGGACAGCGCTCAATACACTTTTAAATGAATTATAAATCTTCGATTCCTCTCATATAAAATGTATCACAGTATTATTTAATGAAAGTTTTCAAACATTGTTTTGTATAGGGATCTAATGACAGGTGTCGATAAGCCATTAGCTAATAATATTTCTATTTTTTATGGAAATTTTGGACGGACAAATGTGGCAACAACTTTTTGGACAATGTCTTTACAACTTCAAATTCAAATATTTGTTTTCACAGAGGTTATTACTGATTCTATTGGAAGGAACAGAAATGTTGGACTGTTTACATCTTGCCATCATCATTCCACATTTATAAAAATCGCAAATAGTGAGACTTTAAGTTTGTATCAGGAAGTTGCGTTTCCTATTAGAGTCTCTAAAGTCGTGGCTTTACGTTGGAGACATATGCGAATGATTAATGTATCGCTTTTTTGTGTTTTCTTTTATTTATTTGATTTAAATTTTTATTGTTATTTTTTGCACTTCTCTTTATTTAGTTTTTTATTGATTTTTGAAAATTGCTATTTTATTAGAGGGCTTGGATTGAGGGGGATTGAGGGCTCAGGTTCATTTTGAATATTGTTGGTTTAGTTTGTTTATTAGTAAGATAATAAAACTTTTTTGTTTTGGTCGATTTCAAACATCATAAAAATTAGATGAATCGCGTTTGAATTTTTTTAACGATGTTCGATAGGGACATACAATGATGCTGTTAAGTTCAGGGATATGATAATGAAAAGGGTCCAGTAAAACAGCGACGAGCACTAATTCAACGTTTTTTCAATCACAGAAAGAAAGATCATGTTAGTTAGTTTTAGTCATAGTTTTAAATTAATAAATAACAATGATATTAATATGCATTATTTGTCCATAAATATTAAACACTTGCATTATTTGACAAAAAATAACCCGTGATAATCTCCGGAATCTTTCCATTTTATGCTTTTTTGAGTTTTTATTACAGTTATTTTTATTAAACTTGAAAAGATCATCTTGATTTAATACTGATTTTAAGTCTTGTTAGCCTTGTGTTCGTTTGACTGCTACCGATTCTAGCAAGAGTAAGACTCTACAGACTAAGGAGGGGCAAAATGGGACATTTAGTTACATCAAATCCAGTTCATCTCTAAAAAATTAAATCAAATTTTTATAATGATTATTGATGCTACTTGCGCTGCAGCAAATCCATATATACTGGAAGAGAAGCAAATAAAATTCTGATTAATCATTGATTTCATATAAAAAGCAATGAAATTCAAAATAATCACCTGATTGTGTATCCATTTTTAAATTATTGGTTAACGAAAGCGTGTAATTTTTAAGTTTCACCTTAGTCCGTAAAACCTTACCTCTTATTTGATTTTGACATGATTTCATGGTTTATCAAAATAATGATCCGAAATTGCATTTAAATAACATTAACATGGATGCAAATTCTAGAAGAAACTGAAAAATGCAGAAAATTAATCAATGATCAAAAATTTATTTGCATTTACCTTTAGCACAAATTGTTTCGTTATCAAACCATAATCACCAATTTGAATTCCGTTTGTAGGTAATGTTATCCTATTTAAGATTTCAATAATCTGAAATGGTAAAATTCACTCGATTAAGCTGAATGAATGCAACATAAAAGATATCCTAAAGTAATTAGGCAAAAAATGGTAGGTTACCTGTAACTTCATGAAAATAGGTATTTTTCTTTTAGAATATATTCGATGCCACTTTGGATAGAGACTCTCAACCTGTTTTTACACAAATCCAAAAAAATGACTGTAATAACCGGATGGCAAATGTATTCAGTTTCATAAAACATCGCATTAAATGTTATGAGTAAAGTTTTACCTTGTTCGTTAATGCAGCACAGAACAAGCTTATCGCTGAAATATCAGTTATTACGGTGATCCCAAGGCCAGCAATGAGAGTATCCAACACAATAGAATGATTTCCAGTGAATATGCCGAAATGAAGAAACCAGATTGACTGAAGAGCCACTCCAGTATAAAAATACAAAACAATGAAACGAATTTTTCTGAAACTTGAATCAATTTCGTTGAACAACTGTAAAGTTTGTCTAATGACACATTTTACCTCTACAATTTGCATCTTATCCATGCACTTGATCAGCAGCGTTGTTGAATCCGTTAATGATTTTATGTGAAAATGAAAAATACCAGCAATAATACAACACAACGCACTATGATAAACCATTTGAGCACCTAAACAGATCACGATTGATGTCAAGGTTATAGTCCATGCAACCGCGATGAGCATTGTTTTAAGTGAAAAATGATTATATTGATTCCAACATAGTTCATGGTTATAGAGAACCATGATGTAAGGATACATTACGAAAATGAGGCTGTTATGAAATACACAGATTAAATAGACAAAACAGCAAAAGTTTTTCTTTTGGTGTTGAGAGAACGGATAATATGAAAACCCATTTTTAAGTAAATATGTTACGTTGGTAGCTGCACCGACGAATCCACCTCCTCTCTCTATGAAAACTGCACATTCATGGGTTACATACATGGCTGTTATTCCAACAATGACCACAATCAGCAATGAATATTTGTCCTTAGAGTTCAATAATGGATCACCTAAGTAAATGGCCGTTTCATCATCTACTTTTAGCAATATGATCATCCTTGCAAGGTTAACGAGTGTAACAACACGAATCAACCAATTGCCTACATCAAACTGTCGATTAATCACGGCAATTTTATCAAAAGTTTGATCCAATCCATATCTAGAAACAGAATAAAAGGACATTTGCTCTTCCAACTTCGTGGCCGACTCAAGTGCAAGCTGTTCAAAATCATAATTATATGATTTATTTATAAATATTAACTGAGCTACTTTGATTAAATCAGAAATAAAAGATGGATAAAGAGCGTTTAGAATATTTTGCACCATTTTTTGCATTTCAGTGTGTTATCAAAGTGAGGTTGATATGAATTAAAAATAAAATTGCTCGTTCAAAGTTGATAGTTTATAATAAAATATGATGATTTTGCAAATGCACTCCTTCAATACCTGTAGGTTGCAAATAAAGATATTAACCTCTTTTAAATCATACTTACAGAATCAACTCAGGTGTGCAATATTGATCAATCAAAAAATTAAAATATAATAATTCTTGTGGACATTATACCTCGATTGATTGAATCGATCATTAATAATCACTTTGCATGCATTTTGAAATTCACACAATGAGTAAAATAGAAATATAAAATATTTAAGATTTTTGAATAAAAAACAAATAAAAATTATAGTTTAAAGAGATTAATGAGAAAATTACATCTCAGGGAGTAAGCTAGAAATGTCATTTTCTCACTAAAGGGTGTCAATTTATAATTGCATTGAGAGCAGAAAACCGAATGACTAGCATTGGTTAGTGATAACAGCAAAAGCGATAAGAAAATTGTAAAATAGACTCCATCTATTGACAATTTAATTTAGATTTAATTTTGAGTGCAATTAAATTAAATTTTTCGCTATTTCTTTGGTATTATTGTTGTTGCTTGTGGTAAATCACCACCAATCTTGATTCGAACCCAGAAACAGTTCGTACGATTTTGCATAAACCGGGGGTTTTTTCCTTACAGGTCGCGAGAAGTCAACGTCTTTCAGCACCGAATAAATGCAAAAGACTCGTATTTTTTACACTTAACATTGATGTTTACAAAATTTGGTTCTCTTATGAGAAATATTTTTGTTTATCAAGGCGTGAAAACCACCAAAACAATAAACGATGGTGTCGAGAGAGACCAACTTTCTTTAATGAGCTCGTTGCACATTCACCTAGCGTTCACACTTGACGTGCTTTGTCTTCCGTTGGTATTATTGGACCTTTCTTTTTTACCGAAAATGTGGATCAATTTAATAATCAAAAAATGATTGATTTAGAGTTCAATCATTGCAAAACTTTGGAAATTTTGCTGAGTTCTGGTTCCAGCAGGACGGAGCTACTGCGCATTGTACTGATCAAGCTTTAGAACTTCTATTCCGGAGAAAGATTGATAAGCAGAAGATCTTGGATTAAATGGCCGGCTTCTTCACCTGACTTAAACCCTCTTGACTATTATCTTTGGGACTATTTAGACGAGATGGTCAAGCGCTTATCACACAAAACTGTACCACAGTTAAAAGAATGTATAAAAAATTAAATAAGTGCAATCAATAGATCAATTTTCATCGGTGATCGGAAATTTGTCACCTAAACATTACCTTTCAAATAAACTAAGAACTATTATTGGCCTCGGTCTATATTAAAAAATATTCTACTTTTAGTCGGCCCCTCTTTTATCGTGACATTCTAATAGTATCTCAGTAAAACAATTGAGGTCGATTTCGTGCCCCTACAACCTGCAAAGCATCAACTCGAAAAATTTTATCTGAGCTAAAAGAAAGTCTTTTTCATGCCAAATAAATATCATCAAAATGACGAACACGAAAGATTTTAATTTTAATATTTATCATTCCGACAGCTTGTCATTAATAATTCTGATCTTTTCAGATTGGATTGAATTCATCACTTCATCACATGTAAACAAACGAAATTTGCGGTACGTTATCATCGAAGCACCCTCTAGGCAGGAAATTTTACTAATTTTTCATTTTTTCACAATATTTGTAATAATTATTACAATAATTATAAAAAGGCAGATGAATCAGAACAAATTAACAAAAAATGATAATCAAGATGCATTCACAGCAGATGAAAAATATCCCAAGATAAGAATCATCGATCCAAGCAATCCATTGGAGTTTATCCTTAACACTCGTTACTTCACTCCCAGATGCTTTTTGCGATAAAACTTTACTTTATCAGCGCATGATCTATTCAGATAAAACTCTTGAGCTAAATGTTTTCTCACTCGTTTTTTTCCTTTTATTTCATTATCTTCCTGAATTTATTCCATTCAGCCTTCAATGAAGCAACCACAATAATAAATGTCAAATCAAATATACTTCAACCTGTGAGACTGTAATTTGACTAAAAATTTAATGCCAGTTTAGTATTGAATTTAATTTTTTACATGAGCAACAGCAAAGATATTCAAGCTTCGACATTAGTTAACAAATGCTCAATGAAGATGGTTTCACAAAAAGTTGATGTAATACAAAGTTTCAAAGTGAATCAACTAAGTTGTCCCTTCAAAATTGCTCATTCAATTTTGCACTAAAACATCAAATATTTTCCCTCATCTTCAAAACTGTGCTACAGATTAAACAAATAATTTTCAATGTTTCCATGTAACTGGAATTGCAAGTTTTGAGAAAAAGTTTCAAAAGCAAATTGAATATTCCGCTTCAACGTTGGTTGTGAATCAAAGAAGCCTAACAGTTGTTATCAAGTCTCCCTTAAATGTTCACCTTAATTGCACTCATCTAATGTGCTACTCTTGCCTCTTCCAAATCATCCATTACTAACACCCAGAATCTCTAGTAATCGTCAATAATTTTCTTTAAACATAACAAAAAGAAAGGAATCAAGAATCCAATCCAAAAGTCAAAAAAGTTCTGCCCTCAAACTCTTAAATATTCACCGTACAAAATTCGGATTTAATCAATCAATCAACAAAAATTATAAAAAAAGATAAACATAAAGTAGCAAAAATATGAGTGCAGAGGTTGAAGTTGAAACTGCCATTGGTGATGTTAAACTATCAGAGAATCGAGTTGACAATAAAGAAGCTTGGTACAAAACAATTTACCGACCAATTCATAAACTTCATATCACATTTATAACCATATTTGTCCTCTTATTCATTCTTATATCGTCATTCATTTTTTGGTATATTAAGGGTAAGTTATTCATTTCAAGAACCACACTTTTCTTTCTCTTTCCCATCAAACTTTCATTCCCTTTTTCTCATGATGAATCTTGTCTGTTTCATGCAAATCTTTTTTTCTTTTTTTTCAACATTTGAAATGTTCAACATTGTCACATGAAAAGTTGGTGCAACCTACATCAAATCAATCTTGAATTCAATTTCCACCTTTTCCCAGATCAATCAATAGAGACATTCATTAACAATATCATACAGTAATAAGACTTACAATGCATAATATGACAGCAATCTGTTAGGAAAGTTTTCGGTTAATCAACTCTTGTTAGCTCATTAAAGGTTTTCGATCCTTTGTTTGAAAATCGAATGACAATTGTCAGAAACTTGCTCTTATCATTTATTATGCTCTCAAAAATCTTTTTTTTACAAAATTGTTTTCGCCATTCTGCTTCGTATCGAATCATCGACTTCTCCGCTAAAATAGCACCATAAAGTTTAGCTATAGTCCGTCTCTCATGTTTATTTTGCCATTTATTGAGCCATTTTCATCTTGCACTCTTAAAAATACTTGGACTGAACTGAGATGAAACACTTTCTGAGCTTGTTTTAGTAGGTCTGTAGTAACATGTGTAACTCTTATTAAAATTTTCACAAGTCAACTGTAAACTAATAATACAACTGGCAAACAACAAGCTTATACTTCGATTGTGTTCTTATATTATCTAAACATAATCCAAGTTCCAGAGAAAATTCCAAGTCTTTTGTAAAAGTAAAATTCTCAGTAAAAAGGATCAAAATTAAATCGTCCAAAAAGATCTCAACATGAGCTTATCTTTTCGATCTGCTCACAGTTTCTCAGCCAGCTGAACATTTCAATTTCATCACAAGTTATCCATTTCAACATTTTCTCTTTCAACTCTTCACAACTTGTCTCCATTGAATGTCATGAATAAATGAGATTGATTCACCAATTTTGCTTCATTTAGCAATGTTTTAAATATTTGTAAAATATTGAACTCAACCAAAAAAGATAGAAAAGAAACATTTGAATTGCAAATTTTCTTGCCCAAACGTAACGATGAATACCATTATCACGAACAAAGAAATTGCAATTCAATAAAATTAGCTGAAAATTGTTTGGTGAAACATTTTTATTTGAAAATTGATAACATTACTTGGAATAAAAAATGAGCTTAAAAAAGCAAGAAACAATGAACAAGAGAAAAGGTAAACTAGAAAAGTGTTGAGAAACTAAGTTTCAGGTAAAGGAATGGAATAAGATAAACCAAGATGATTGGATTGAACAAGAATGATCAACATTTTTAGAGATGGAAAAAGTTGCCTCCATTGAATAGAAACAACATTGAATAACCTCAACAAAATATCATGAGTTCAGTTACTATTCTGTTGTTATTTTTCCCTTTTCTCATCATCATCATTATTATCATCATTTATTCTCTTTTTTTCTCCTTGCTTCTTTATCTTTTTTGTTTCTCCCAATCTTGTAGTTTGTCATTCAAATAAACTGCCTCCAGGTTTGCCTGGGAACCTTCAAATTCTGAGTTGCATACAAAAAGCATCTTGAAAGGTAAACTCATCAGGGATTCCAATACAAATCAGCTTCATTGAGGTTCCTTCACAATCTCATGAGAACGATAATAGACAGTCTAACAATTTTCTTTTTTCTCCCTCTCAAATAACTTTACCATTATTCATTGATAGTTTATGATTCTTGATAATTCATGATGCTGAACCAAGGCAAAATGAAATTGATGAATCGAAGCAAGATTCACACTAATGATGCCATTAAATCAACCAATAACTTGTCATTTGATTTAATGTGAAAAGAAATTGAAAATTGCAAGAAAAGTCTGAAACAAGGTTGGCATTTACCATCAGACGACAATTCACCATGATTGAAGATTCTGTAAAATTCTTTTCTCTTCACCATTTCAATCCATTCAGAGTATACAATTTTCCCACTCATTTCACCTTGATAAACCTTCTTTGGAAAGGTTATTTTGTTTTCTTGATCATGAAAAATTTCGAAAAATTTTATTCTTGTTCACAAATGTTGAGTTACAATGAACCATTAACAACTCTTCAACCTTTTCTTCCCCAGCCTCTATCATGATCATTTTCAGCTGTCTTATTGTGAAGAAAATAAAACGTGTTCATGTTAACAAACATGAAATAGAAATGAAGAAAAAAGTTCAACTTTAAATATCGAGCAATAAAATTTTCCAATGAAAAAGGTTTGAATTGTGAGGTTAACTAGTTGAAGTAAACTGGTCGAAATAAACTGTTTAACAACAGAAAATGGCTCAAAGCAAATTTCAAAATGACAATTCAATTCTCTGAATGTTTCTGTAAATTGAACTTTCTCTATCAAAGATTGTGACAATTTTGGAAGCAATAAAGCTGAACAAATAGATTTGAAAATTACTTTGCAAGATAATTCCTTTTTCCCCAAACTAATACCTTTCAAACCTTTTAAAGCAATACTTTTGTGAAGATTGGACAGAAAAAAAAGAGTTTTCTCAAAATTCTCATCATTCTGTTATCACTCAGGTCAATTTAACTGAAATATCAAATGATGAAAAAGCTTTGCAAATCGTTCTCATGTAAAACTTGGAGTTTCAGTTTCAATTGTTTAACCAACAAAAAGACTAATCTGTTACAGAAAATGTTGAAGTGTTGGTGAAATTGGTAAAGATACTTAGCGAGTAAAGACTCATTTAATTGGATATATTAATAGAGATTATAAGGGAATGGAAAGAAGGGAATGAATGTGCAAAGGGAAACAAATTAAGGTTAATCATTTGGTTCATTTAATTAATTTCTATTTTCTATCTTTCTACCTTTTCTAATCTTTAAGTAAATAAACTTTTGGATCCCATGGTAATTACCTATGATCGACATGATTGCGTCCCAATGAAAGTGGCTTATTGTATAAAACATAACGTTCGTTATTCACACATTACCTTGCCAAATAAAAATGATGATGACACAAGCCAGGAATCAATTAATATCCAATTAGCTGAATATGATCCTATCTTAAGTGTCAAATGTTATTCACTTCTTCCCTTGTTTCTTTGCTCATTATCAACTTCCTTCTGTAATTCAACTTCACAGCCAATAAAACCTTGTCGAAGCTTCTGCAAAGGTAAGCTTATTGTTGATATATTTATTCATTATTTTGTAATATCATGTCTTAATAATGTTCAATAATGAGATTCAATGAGAAGAGGAAAGAAGAGCAAAAATCGATAACTGTCATTTCCAATGAATAGGTGAACATGTTCATTGATAACAAACTAAACTCTTTGGTTCAGTAAAACAATGAATGTTGTATTTTCATTATTTTGTTATTCATTGTTTGATAAACTATTGAATCACTGATATTCAGATACAGAGGTATTCACTAATGAGAAATTGAAAATTGAGCAAACGAAATAAGAATAAGCTTTTGACTGGAAACTTTCGCAACATTTGCAATATTTATTAGAATTTTTTGAATGTCATGGAACATTTATGAATGCAGTAAAATTTCACCATCTTTTATGTTTAAGTGTGAAAAGTGGAAAGCCATTTATTATTATTATCATTCAGCATTAAAACATTAATACTTTTCTTCCTAACTCCAAGTACGCTGGGAGTGAAAAATAGATACACTTACGAGTTTACAAGGTTATTTAAATTTTAATTATATTCGATTGTCAGTAGCCAAAAGTTTTCTAAAAAATTAATATTCTTCGATTTATGCAAAAAAGTGACCACGATAATTCTGAGAGTTATTTTCAGTTTTCCAAGTTTGTTTCATGTCAAGCAATCGACCAACGCCAGGCAGTGATTCAATTTGTCTCAGATGCTTTCATAGCTCTATGACATGGTGTTCCAGCATCTATGAGAATAAATCTTTTATCAACTGATTTGAATCGACAACTAATCTCAAATATTGTTCTTAAATCTCCACATAGGGAAATTTATCGATTGATCTAACAAAGAAACACAATTGAGACGCTTCTCCATAAAATATTGCATCCAGTCCATTACACTATGATAGTCAGAATATTAGACATTATTCCTCCAAATGCATGCCAACCTTCAACTTGTCTTGCATCTGGAAACTGATAGCTAACCTTCTAAGTGAAGTTCGATATTCATCCATAACAACTTCAACTATCGATTCTTGCTCAGTATTTGATTTATACCTCACTCAACCAGATCATGTTTTTTATTTGGACTGTCACGTTTTTATCCTTTCTATCAAATTTTTCACTGACTTTCAGGAAATTTCAATTTGCAATGCGTGTTGATCGACTTTAGTACAAGAGTACAAGTGTATAAAGAAAACACTCTTTTGTGTGTAAAACTTCTAAAAATTTTACACTTTAATAGATTTTTGATTAACTGACTGATAACTTCGCAAATTCTGAACTGACCTGAGTAATTTTTTTATGAGAATTTACAGACATTGAGGTTTTTCATTTCAGTAAATACCAAGTGTTAATTTCAATCTGTTTATTTTCCAGTAAACTCTAGAAAAAGTGTTGATAAGAATACAACATTTTTCACATTCAGTGTATTTTTAGGCGTAAATGGTCAGGCTAATGGATCTTCGGATATTCTTAAATTGGACGTTGATTCAATCTATTAATTCAGTGACATCTCGAAAATAGTTGCAATTCATCTGCTTACAGTGAAACAATTTCCTTCACTCATCTTTCCACATTTGATATAATTTCCATCATTTGTTGATCCATGATTATCATGATTACATAATTGATACTTCTCCTTCATGTTTACAAATGTATTAACCTTTGGCATAAATGGTTGACCTTTTCTTGGATAATCGAGACTGGTGATCAATCTTGATTAAATTGTAACCTTTTCACATCTAAAACAAATAAAATAGCTACCTGAATTATTTGAACATCAACATCAACTGAACTGAAATATAATAGAATTTGTTAAAAAATAGTTTTCATTAAATGAAATAGCAGTAAACTCAAAAGCATAGCAACTCTCGTCAGTTCAGTCTATTGCATTTACCATGAATTCAATCCAATAACTCTATTGGATTGAATACATTTTAAACGAGCCAAACAATAACTCACAGTAAAACCGACCAAAGGTGTTAAACTTTTGGGTTAATTTATGCCTCACAAGGGAAGTAACCTCGTTGGTACGGGCAGATCAAAATGAAAGTGGGTTTAATGGAAAGCCCGTACCAGAAAACCCCTAAAAACATTAATCTCCCATGGAGGAAATTGATCTAAAAAAAGTTACAGGGTCGTAAATATTTTAATCACGGAGGTCAAAATGGTTAATAAAATCGAAGTAGAGATAGATATTTTTATCAAAATAAACTATTTAGGTGTAATTGATCATGGGGGATGCAAATCTGAAATCAGTTTATTCCTAAAGTTTTTTGTTTTCGAAAAAATCGCAAAAACCCACGAAAACACTCGATAAAAATTTCTGAATAAAATTCAAATATGAAAAAAAACTTTCTTTAAAATGAAGCTTCAATACAAACATTTATGTGGTTTTTTGCTATTTTTTCGAATTTGCGGCCCTGTAACTTTTTTCAGATCAATTTCCTCCATGGGAGATTAATGTTTTTAGGGGTTTTCTGGTACGGGCTTTCCATTAAACCCACTTTCATTTTGATCTGCCCGTACCAACGAGGTTACTTCCCTTGTCAGTTTTCCTAGTGAACAAAATCTGATAATTTTATTTCTATTCAAAGTCAATCTTTTTGTTACACCAATTCAGTCAAGTATTCAATGTGAGCTGCTTTGTTTTACAAAGGTTTACAAAAGTGAAGACTCAAAAGGCTTGTGAAATGAAAAAATGTTTTTATTAAAAGTGAAATAATGAAATTTGAATCACAAGTTACAATGAAAAGCAAACAATTTTTACATTGACAATGATTTGTGATAAACACAAGAAGAAACGGAATAAATGCTTTGATTACCTTCAATTGAGCTCTTTTCACAACATTATTCTCATTATCCAACAATTCAATCTCATGTAATCTCAACTCACACCATTTATCAGTAGCAACATTATTTCTTTTTCTTCCTCTGATTGAACTGTATTCCTTGAAACCCATTGATTTACCTTGAATGTTATTTCACTTTTACTCATTTTCTTGCTTCTCTCTTCTACCTCTAAACCAAATAGCAATAGACAGTCTCATGTGAACCTGAAACTGTAAAATGAAAGCTGCCAATAACATTAACCAAAAAGGAAAGAAGAAATAAACCAAATTTCCTAATTCAGATTTCCTAATGAATCTCTTTACTCTTCTGTTTTGCTCTTTTTTTTGCCTCGTCCTTTTCATCCACAATCAATATCATCGTCACCATTGAATTCAGGCAAATTGTTCAATACCTTTCTGTTTCCAAGGTCAATTGCCAGTGATGAAAAAGAGTAACAAGAAAAGGCTGAAATAGCATGCAAGATAAAAGTATCATTGTTCTTGTCATTTTCAGATTTACTTTATTCCATTGGAACCAACTTTCTTCTCTTTTCTCTACTTTTTCAAATAAAATCTTGCAGCCTTTTCAGATTTCACATTTTCTCTCAGCAAACTTTAACCATCTTGAGTAGTTCTTACGTTTATCCGATTGATAGTTTTCCTCTTTGCTTTCTCTGCATTTCCTTCATTCGACAGAAACATATTTATGTAAAGAACGAATCGAAGTCTTCATTGTCAATGTATTTTGCACTGTTTAAGTCACAAATTTAACAAAATTTGAACGCCCTTCAAGTATGATTAATTTTGAGGCTCTTCGAATGGGTTAAAATTCGAGTTTGAAACATTGAAATCAGAGTGCCATTGAATCATTCTCAACACAAAAATACCTCATAATTAATTTATTATTTACAAATGATGTATTTTGATGAAATATAAAGTAAAACTCTTTTAATCCAAACTCCTTTTATCAACAAATCATTTTAATTGAGAACAATTTCCTTTTTCAAAATAAATTCAAATTTCAATTCAGGCAAATTCTTTACTTTTGTCAGCATTCAAATGTTTCTGGATCAATCGATAAATAACATTAACAATGGATAATTTGTGGGATTTTCAAGTGTAAAATTTTCGCTATCCATTGGTGATTTAAATATCTAAATTGCAGAGATTTGAAAGACATAAGGCCCAAACTGCCAAACAAGCTAACGTAGCTTTTTTAGTCAATAAGTAAAGTGTAAATTACCATGCTGAATTTACTCTAATCCTAAATATCGTTACAATTTATCTGAAAGAAACGATTAAATACCGGGCTTTTTTCATTTACGCCTGTTTGCCGCCATAACTCACTATCGGTTATGCCATTCAGAAAATTTAGAACATTCAAATGAACTCTAAAAGTCAAAGTTTGATTTCCGAAAAATTACCTCAGATGACCATAAAGCGTTGATACAGCCTGTGTATCAATATGACTTATCCTGAAAATTAGAAATCGCTATAGTAGTTATATAACGTCCTCTTCGAGGACGACTTGGTTTTTCCAGGACAACTCTGTTTTTCCAGGACAGTCCGCTTCAGGGACAAACAAACTGTCCGTTTCCAGATAAATGATACCGTCATACGGTGTTAGTTTTTTCCGAGAAAAAAATGAAACTTTTTTTAATGAAAATAAATAAACTTTTTTAATAGAAAAATCAATGAAAAAATGTATGAAAAAATGAAAATGAAAGCAATACAAAATTATAGCCCTCGGCTAGAGTCTCTTAATTCGAGCTCTCACACTCGATTCTCCACCCAATTGGTGTATCTTTCCTGAAATTTTTCAGGAGGGAAACCAAAGGCACGTACGCAGCGCCTATCAATATATTCAATGAATTGGTCATTCTCGGCTAATTCATTCTTTACCTCTGCCACCTCAGCCCTCAGCTCCCGGTTTCTGGTTTGAAGGCGCTGGTTTTGGACCAACAACCGCTCGATTCGGGCTTCCTGGTCCTCGTTTGATCGAATTTTTTCGATCGCCAACTCGAAAGTTCTTCTAATGAAGGAGGGGACAGCAATCAGGGCTGACTCCAAATGAGTCAGTACCCTTCTAAGTTGAATTGATAGAGGTGATGATTGACTGAAAAGAGAAAAAAGGTTTTTATAAGGTCAAAAGTGAATAAAATTAAAAAAGTACTTACCCTCGAGTTGGTATGATTAATAAATTAAAGTTAATTTTAACAAAAAATAAATAAATAAACTAAATTAAACTAATTAAAGATGAGGATGAAGGCACGTTGATGGTGATGGAGACTAGAGATTACGTTAAAATGGGATTGAAATCGAACTTTTTACCGATGTAAAGGGTAGAGTCTCGAATTGAGAGATGCCAGTCGTGGCCTTTAATTTATATTAAATTCATTTTCATTTTTCATTTAATTTATTTTTTCGTTAAAAAAGTTTTCATTTTTCATTAAAAAAAGTTTTCATTTTTTTCACGGTAAAAAACTAATACCGAATGACGGTATTCCCCTTGTCCCAGAGGCGGACTGTCCTGGAAGAGGACAGAAAATCTGTCCTGGAGAATCGAAGTGTCCTGGAAGAGGACTTTATAAGACTACTCGCTATGTTCACTGATGTTCACAGGTGGCTTTTTCAGCTTAAATTGCATCCTAAATAAACTTCATGGCTTCAGTTGCATAAATTGTTATATGCGTCCTCATGCATTTCAAACGTTTTTTCAGACTAACTTCAGACGAATTTCAAAAACTTAATATTACTTCGAAAAATGGATTTGAACAATGAGTTCAGTATAAAATTTTACATCTAAATTGTTATCGAAAAATTTCTTATTAGGTAATTCACCCTATTCTTTAGGCCTTTATCTTTTCAATGTTTTGTGTATTTGAAGGGGAATGTTATCAAAATAGAAAGCAATGATTCATGGATAGATTGCAGCAGACAGAATTGATATGTTTATCATGATAATTATGAGATTCAATTACTTTTCATGTTCTCCATTATTCTCGGTATCATTCAAAGAATAGGATAATGAAAATGTCAATTGTGCACTTGAAAGAAACAAAATTGAAGTTTATGGAAACAAAGATAAGTTATTCACTGCCATCTGCTTATCCTGGAATCGATCAAGTGATGAATGTGATTGAGTGTGTGAATATATATTCATGAATGCTGATTGGGAATCTAGAGTTATGATTATAAAGAGAGATGGTAAAAGAGATAAAGAGTAAATATGTAAAATAGAAAAGAAAAGGAAAGTATCATGCAATGGTGTAAAGGTTTTTCGTTTACTTGCTTCATTGTTCTTCAACGTTTCAAGATATTCATGGAGAGACTCATTGAAATGAGTAAAATATTATGTAAACATGAAACTTTGTCAAGATTTGAGTTCATGTTTCCCTTTTTAGTCTGCATTCCATTTGGTTAATTCAATTATTTTTACTCTTTGATTAATATTCCATGAAATGATTTATTACAAATGGAAATGACAAAAGCTAATTGAAGATGGATCAAGTTTTGCTAATTTAGTTTACATTCCAATCAACCAATCTGGAGCTGTTACTCTTTTCATTATTTCCCAACAAATCTCATCTTATCACGACTGTTTCAAATTAAACATCAGGCAACATCATTTACTTGAATCTACTCGGGCCATCACGGATACCTGAATAGAGAGAAAAAGAGAAAACGTTTTCTTTAGATTAATAGTAATCGAAGTGTTGAGACAAAAGGTGAAGGCTTAATTGATGAGTTGATGTTAAACTAATGACAGAAATCGATTCAAGCTAAATCATCAATTTACTAGTTGATTCATTAGTGAATAAAAGTGTTGAAAAAATCCATTCAATTTGAATTTCCTTTTAATTATTTTTTTTTGCATTTCCATTCCTTGCAGAAGCACTTCGCCGGTGTGATTTTTTTCTCAGCGTATTTTCATTAGAATGGCCTTCGGAAATTAATTGCGATCAATATCCAGACGATCCTGATCCTGACGTGTGTGTTGGTTATCGTGATAATCAGCGAGTTATTCGTAAAAATAAAGGTATAAAAAGTGAAATTTGATGGTTACTCATAAATTTTCTTAACCAGAACCTTTCAGACCTTTTCATTTCACTACTAACTTGTTTAAGCCTTTAACCTTGTTTTCTTTACCTGTCAAAATGAAAATTTCATTTACCCAAGTTAACATGAAATCCAATTTAATCAATTCTCTTGGGATTGGTAATGAAAATTTTGCCTGTTTCTTGAACTATCTTCATCAACTTTTTTTTCAGTCTTTTGTTTCCATTTGTTTCTCCCCATCAACCTTGAATTTTGTTTCTCCTTTGCTTTCCTTTGAAATCCTGTGAAGGTTTGCAGATGATTCCTTTTTGTGGTGATTCGTCTTCTGAACACCTTAATACATTTTATTATAGCTCAGTAGTCTTCATCTATTTAAAGGGAAAATATTCTTTGACATCAATTTGAATTATAACTTGAACACTTTTTTACTCACAATAATTTAATTCACGTCTGCCTTTCCTTCCAATTCCTTTCAATTTATGATGTTGATATATTATCAATATTGTAATAATGTTTCTCGAACTGGTAAAAATCAAATTTATTTTGATTGTGTTACATCAGAATTCGCATCACATAACCAAGCCAATTTAAATGTAGTTGGATTTAGTCTTGAGTAGAAGGTCCATTTGAGATATCCTTTGAAAAGAGCTTCTTAATGTACACAAAAGCAGTTTATGAATAATCAATGAGTAAACCAATTATAATTGTATTATTGGTGATAATTGATCTAATTAGTTTACTCTCTATTTCATTATTAAGTATGCAGCACTGAGGGATTCAGATGTGATGGAAATCGTTGTTTACCTCGAAGCTGGTTGTGTGATGGGTTCCTTGATTGTAAAGATGGTTCAGATGAGCGCAACTGCAGCTCATGTACGAATGATCAATTTCATTGTGGTAAAGGACGATGTATTGAAAAGAAAGACATTTGTGATGGAGTCCGTGATTGCCATGATAACCGAGATGAACGCCAATGTCTTCGCTTAAAACAATCCATGGGTCGAATGGGTTACGGTCGACTGGAAGCTTGGTCCGCGACTCATAATAACTGGAACACTGTTTGTGGTGAAGATTGGGATTCACAGTTTATGTCGATGAAGGCTTGTAAAATGTTGGGCTATCGTAAAGTAAATGAAACACGAATGCAAGATGAAACGTTTGAATCTCCAAAAGATAGAATGGGTCAACAGTTGACCAAGACAATGTTTTACAAGGGAAGGGAAAAGGGTTGTAGCAATGAAAGGAAAATATCAGTTTACCTAAAGTGTATAAATTTTGAATGTGGTAAATCGGCCATTTCCTATGTTGGTAATTTCCGTATAGTTGGTGGAACAGAATCCAGGCCAGGACAGTGGCCATGGTTAGCGGGTTTACATGGTGGACCAGCTGAGATATTTTTCTGTGGCGGGATTCTCATTTCTCAACGATGGATACTTTCAGCTGCCCATTGTATAGGTAACCAGACTGATGTAACTGGACTAAATGTTAAATTGGGTGAGTAAACTTGATTTTGATGTTGACCAAATAAATTTCATCTCAATGTTTAATTTTTGTTGATTAACAGGATTAACTAGGCGTACATCATCACCATTTTTTGTTCGACGTCAGAAGATCGCAGCAGTAATCAAACATCCAGGATTCAATTTAGCCAGCACTTATGGTAATGACATTGCTTTATTACTGTTGGAAGAATCGGTTGATTTCGACGAATTTTTGAGACCAGTTTGCTTACCAACTGGAAAGGAAAATCTTCTTCCCGATAAAAAGTGTACCGTGATTGGTTGGGGTAAGCCTAACCATGACGATGACTCTGATTATTTAAATGTGATCCATGAAGTGAATGTACCTTTGGTTAATCACTCTGTCTGTGCTCAATGGTACCAATTACAAGACATTACTATTGGTGACAAAATGCTCTGTGCAGGATATCCAGAAGGTAAAAAGGACGCCTGCCAAGGAGACTCTGGTGGACCTTTACTTTGTCGAAATTCCGATGATTCTTGGTATGTGGCCGGTATTGTTTCGTGGGGAATAAACTGTGCACAACCCAATTTACCAGGTAAATATTAATCACTAAAAAGACACCGACTTAAAATTAAAACACTGTAAAAGATTCGTTGTCAATTGTGCTACCATCTGTAGTCAAGTAACAAAACTTGTCAAATTCTTGCAGAAAACATTGGATACTAATTTAGATTCAAAACAATCGCAAACGAAATATTTTTTGAAGTTTAACTCTTATTATTTATTTTTAATTTATATTGTCTTCCTTTTCCTCTCACATTTTTATAGGAATCTATACCAACGTTTACATGTACAGAGATTGGATCGAGCAAGTAACCGCAGAATACGGTCATCCATTAATGGAAAGTCAACAAGTTGATTGATTGGACCCAACGGAGCTCATCTAACTTCAATCTCACTTCTGATTTCGGATAGAAACACTTGTCAGATGGATAAAACTTGACGGCTTGTTACTGGAATCATGAAGACCAAACCAGAACTCTTCAATGGTGGTCAATCTTTATTTGGCAAATATAAATGTGAACAAGCTCATTCAATGGACTTCAAAATTATCAATTAAAGTTGTTGCTTATTCAGAAATATTATTGATTTGAGATTTTTTGTTTTCATTTACTTTCAAAAAATGCTAATTTTCTGTAATTTAGTAATTTTGATCTGCAACCTCTTAGACTATCTTGTTAATATTTCAATAATTAAAAGGCACAAATGAAAATTTGACCAGAAATTATTTTCAACTTACAGTTTTGAAAGCAGTTACAGCAGTTGTACTGTAGCGATAACTGTTAAACTAATGAAACTTGGCAAACATGTTGACCTGACAAGACTGGTCAGCTCAATGGAAATAGGAAAAGGTTGGTCAGGTTTCGCCATATCCACAATGGTCCGGGTTGTGTATTACATTTTTTTTTTGTTCATTTGCTTAGGTAACTATCGTAAAAAAATGTCAAGTGTCGTGTCCAGCATCGCTCGAATTCCAGTTTTGAATAATATTTTTTTCTTATTGTCACTCATTCTAAAATAAAAATCTAATTTTTAAACTTCAGGCTTCTGAATGCTGTAAAAACAATATAAAAAATTCAACTAATTTTGATGTTTAATTTTGGTGATTTTAATATTTTTTAATTTTCAATAACAGAGGGCAACCGAGAAGGTGTTGATTCATTAACTCTTTGGCTATCACACTGTGTTGTTTAATGTCTCGACTGTTCTCTCTTAATGTTTTCTCTCTGATTTCCACTCAAGTATGGAATTTCAATTTCTTTTTATAAATGTTTTTATTTTCTTTGAATTGTGTTTAATTAATGTTGAATGTGATGAGTTCGTTTCGCTTGATTTTAGTACAACGGAATTGGCTCCTGAACAGGCTAAACAACAACTCGAAATGTTTATTGATTCAATCAATAATACGTTGAATGAGTACCGACAATTGATGGACACTCTTGAGTCAAGAGTATCTAAAAAAGACAAAGACATTGTAATTGAATCATATCAAAACTATAAATCGATAGAGATTTCTGAAAATTCAAATTATTTGGTGTTGCAAGAAAAATCTCAAAATATTGAGGACATGCTGAGTCTTTCTTCGGAAAATGGCGACTGGAATTTTAATCAAATTTTTGAATATGAAAATCAAACGAAGTCATTGCTGGAAGATATCGGAGTTTATCGGAATCTTGTTGACCATCAGGCTGTTTGGATGAATAGAAGTGAGTCTATATATGGATCTTGCTGTGTAATGGCCAATCTATCAATTGAAACTGGACTCCCAATAGTTGTTGACGATTTAATCATTAAGAAGGACAGTGATGATGATTATCTTGATGGAGATATTACTTGGGGCTTCATTAGCTTGGACGATGTTGACAGAGACGTTTCTGGTATTGTGACATTTGACCAAAATATTCGCGCTAATACGTTGGAATCACCTTCAATAGATTTGAGTAATGCTTTTTTACTGGATCATGAACCCATGATTATTCGTGGAAACCTTAGTATCAACAAGTTGGAAATGGATGTTGTATCAATCAACTATAGCAGACCTACGGAATACAACTTAATGTCAGTTGTACCAATCAATGGACCTTCACCATCTACTTTGAGTAATCTTGATTTTGATCAAGTTAAAGTCACTGATATCAAAGACATGGTTGTTAGCAATATCAACTTGGCTCATCTTATGGACACAAAAACGAACCAAACAATAAATTCAACCGTTTCAGTGAAAAAGGTCGAGTTGGATGGACCAAGTTTGTCAGCTGATGATGAGTTTGTTCAGAAATTGGTCGGCAGACTTGTTGAATTTGTCAATAAAACTGATACCGTGAAATACAATAAAATAGTAATTGATTCAATGAATGTAACAAATTTTTACACGGAAGCCTGGGATGAGTGGATATCTTTAAACACAAGTGAAACTATCAGTTTTGATGACCTGAAAATCAATGGATGCGTAAATTTCCCCGAAACAGTCAATGATTTTAGATGGGACAATTTGGTTTTTGCTGATAATACAGATAATATGGAAGAAATTGAATCCGCCGTTGTGTTTGAAGATGAAATAGCAATAACAGAGGGGTTGGCTTATGATTTGTTCAAAACAAATATAACTCCTACCAATTGGGTTGTTCATGGTGACTTGAATATTACCCAAGAACTTAATAACCGTCTTTGGGATGGATTATTAGAAAATTTAATCGCACTTGACGGTAGCATTGAGGAGCTTGAATTTGAGGAATCTGTTTCAGTAAAGAACTGTGATTTCAAGCTTGTCAATGGAATTGAAACTGTAAATTTAGCAACATATGGAAACATCAGCTATCCATTGACATTCGATGATTTAGAAAGCGATGAACTAACACTTGATGGTTGGAATATGACTTCATGTTTGACAAGAAATTGTTTATACGAGAATTCAACGGAAAATTATCCAATTGATACTTTAAACATCATTTCATTACAATTAAATGGAACCATTAATGACATTGATCCAACGCACCTTTTAATCAATGGTAGCGATCAAGACTTTAAATCGCTCAATGGTTCTCTATCAATATCATCAAATATTAGTTTTGAATTAATTGAGATTGCATCAGCAAATATAGATGTAAAACAACTTAATGGACTTGAATTGGATCGCTTACTACGAGATGGCCCAGAACGGTGGCCAAAGACTTTGATTCTTGCAGACTGCAATATAACTAATCTAGGAATTCCTCGGCTTAAAAAATTTGTTAGATCTGCCCTGCTAAATAAACATGATCAAGAATTCCACGTTCCCATCAACTTCAGAGGTAATGTTACTTTTGACGGCGATGTTAAGTATTTAGGATATGGATCAAGTTTACGGATAAACTATGATACGGGAAGGGTTCTGAGCTGGTCAAACCTTAAAATTATTGGAAATATAACTGTATACCAAAATGTTTATGACATGTCAGCTGACACTGTAAATATATCTCAAGGATTAAAAGCTGAAAAATTGATTGTGAAGAATAAGATTAATTCGAGCAAAGGAATCATTTATGAAAATTCAACTTGGAATGTACATCGAAACCCATCCAACCAATATGTGCAATCGATTTCTGTAGTTGATGAGTTGATTATTGATGGTGATCTGGAAGTGAATGATCAACAAGCCGTACCCTGGTTAAGCCATAACTCTTACAATGGATTAGAATTTTATTCTCAAGTTGAATTGATTAATTTAACATTGAAAATCTCAGGCAACTGTTCATATAACCAATTGAAGAGTGAAAATGGAAAGGAAATCAAGTTGGATGAAATAATAGATAAATCAGCTGATCCATTGGACATTACATTGTTTGAAAATGTAACATTTGATGGAGAGGTTTCAATTAGTGGAAATGTTACCTCCGATAATAACTTAAATATCTCAATTTTCCCTTACGACAATTACAATTTTAACCTGAGCAACTCGACATCAGCAACATTTACAGATGAAGTCATGATTATTGGAGATCTGAATTGAATATCTTACCAATGGCCAATGGATTCTTTGATTGCTCACAATTTACACTTATTAAGTCTCTGTGATTCCAAAAGGTATCGACATCATTTACTTGGAATATCAGTCGATAGATGACCTTGCATTTCATGGTATTCACCTACTCGGCGCATGTAAACATTTGTTTCAGTTTTTTTCTATAAAATCAAGTGGATAATATTCAGAATGGGATGAGATAAAGTGACGTAAGAAAAAAAGAAAGAGAATAAAGGCGGAGATTGGAGGCAAAGAGGAAAAATGAAGGATAATTTAGATTGACATCGTTCATGATCTTGGCCTGACTATGACTTTACCCAGGATGAACATTATTCAGCAAATAGATCTCCATGTTATTTGTTAATATTATATTTACTTGAAACTATTATTATATATTGTTGACGCTGGTTTTGCTTTTGTATACAAACACTTTTCAAATTAGCAACTTTTATCATTTCATCAACTTTTGTTTCCCTCCATGGATTTAAACTGTGACTCTATGGACAATTGGAAAAGTGTTAATTATCTCTATTGAAATTTGATCAACAGTTGATCCTCAACTAATTACAATCGAAACAGAGTTTGCAACTCTCTTCATTTGAATCAAAAACTTTCGATTCTCTGTTTTTCCCTTCATTACATTGAGACATGTAAACTTTGATAACTACTCAACTTTACACCTGTGTTGAAGCAAATAGTATCACATCAGTAAATTAACACTTCCCTTTCCGGATTTCCTCATTAATTAACCCAAGTGTAATTACTTATATAAACTTTTCACACTCTAAAAATAAACAACTAACTTCTTAAGTCTTCATCTATTTTTTTTCTCAGTCTCTTCACCTTTTCGTCTCAGTTTCATCAACTTTTGACAGTGACTTTGACTGACATTAACCAAGTAAAAATTTACAAAGTTCAACTTTTAACTTGTGTTCATCGAGAATTGCTCAAGCTTTTGCACAATCTTCTGATTCTCATGATTATGTTTGTGTCTAGTTTCGCAAGCCTTTGATTCGCCAACCCTGAAAATGGATTAAACGTTTTTACCTTTCAATCGATGACTAGTTTCAATCTGCAGTTAAAAGCACAATTTTTTGGACTCAACACTTCACCATCATTAGAAGTATTACAAACTTGTAAATTGATCTCAGTTAAGTATTGTAAAAACTGTTAACTTACACCTTTATCTACCTTGTTGCATGTATTTTTCATTGTTACATTGATTCTTTTCCTATTGTATTGTTCTTGAAATAATACTTGAAAAGATTGAATTGAAACAATCATTTTATTCCCAAGTATCATCAACACATCATCATCATTAATTTTTACACCTATTTGCTGATGACGGTGTTTGAATAGACAGATAAATGGTACAAGAAAAAGAAAAAGTTTCAAGATTAAATCAAAATTTGTTTTCTCTCCATGGTTACTTTTTTTTGATAAACAATTTCAAAGTAAATTGTTCATCATTTGTTGTTGTTTCATTCTCATTCCTTTTTCCATCTTATCAACACACATTTCAAGATTCTTGAATGATCATGATTTAGTGAAAAGATTTATTGGACCATAAGTTTGATCATTGGCATTACCATTCAACAAAACAAATCAAAACAATAACTAGTGGGAAAAAAATCCAGTAAAAACTAATGATAACAGTAAATATCCCCACCCAGGTAGACACATAAAATGATACAATTATATTAACTATACAAAAGGAAATAATGATGAGAAGGATGATGGTGGCGATGATAAAAGATAGAGAAATGTTTTGGAAGTATTTTCATTTTTTTAGCAACATAATGGAAGCTTCATAATGTAAACTGTTCCCAATTGTTCCACAATGAAGAATTGTTCATGATGACTGTATTTTAGGCTTTCACTTGTTTCCATCTCTCTTGATTGTTTGTGCAGTGAGTCTCAAACCAACGAAACTATCACAATTAATTGTCTTTCCCTATTAATATAACAATAACATTGAGATAACTTTTTTTTATGAGCAAATTGAAAAAAAAACTGAAGGGAAAAGTGAAAATGATCGCTTCAGGAGGGCTTTACTGAAAATTTGGCTTTAAATTGAGATAAAGTCGCTTCTTCCTTACAGTAAAATGAGTTGCCATCCTTAAAGTTTGATAATTATCATTGCAAGTTCTACTGAAGAGAATGTCTGTAAATTCATGCCAAACAAGACTGAGCCAGATCCTTCAAGTCGAGCAATTTTTCCTGGTAAAAACGCTGAAAACAAAAGCAGACACAAAATGAGTTTCATACAATATTGCTTGGTAAATTTACTCACCGTTGTCAATAAAATTCTTCACAGAATAATTGTCTAAATTAACAACATGAACAATAAAATTTCAATCATAATTGAGCAAACATTTGCTTTATTCAACCAAAGATTCTTTCAAAAGCAGCTTCACAAATGAAACACATTTCTATGAAAGAACCACATTTGTAAAACATATTAAACTTTATAAGAAACAACATTTTCAGGTTGACAGAAAGTAGAACAATAAAATTATGAAATTGTCAAAAATTGCAAATAATTACATTAAAATACAATAAGACTTTGAAATCAGCAGGACAATTCTAATTGTAAAAACATTTCAAAAAATAATTTATAAACAAAGGATCGGATCAACATTAAAAGATCTCGATCCCAGTACTATCATCAAAACCGGTAAAAGTGATTGGTTAAGTTTAAATCTGAAATTTTTGACGCCACATTGTCTAGACTCGATGGCGGGTTGAAAATCTTCTTTAGCTTTCATTTAAAAAATGAATTTGTCTCACAATTTATTTTTGAACTTCAAGTGATTATTCAACTGTTCTTTGAGTGAAATGGAAAATCGTTAAATCTTAAATTTAAAGTTATAATCCTAATTTATCATTAGTCTGTCACCAAATTCAAATTCAAAGGTAAGCCTTTTCAGTTTTTATGTCATTCAATGTTCAACTTGCAAGTTGTACCATTAGATTCTTGTTTGGTTCATCTTCTGGTCAATCAGTTTGACTTGTAACTTATTGAAATCAAAAAATAATCAATAAATCAAAGAAAATACTGTATAGCTATGATGATTGTTAAATAATTGATCACAATTTACCTTTTCTATCCTCCTGTCAAACTGTCAATTTTGCTCTGCCTGTAACTAAATTAACTCAACTTTACCCTCTATCTTTATCCCTGTTTACTCCCTTTTAGTTGCTTTACCGTTAATTCAAACGCTTTTTGATCTTTGAAGTGGTAAAGTTTTACTGAGAATCAGTAAAGAATCGATTTATCTAACATTTTGACTTTAATAGATCCATATTTTGTTTGTGTGAGGAAGAAAGAAGTTGAATAAAATAGGTTTTCTGATGAGGAAGAAAAGATAGATGGATAGATGAGAATATAGTCCATCAGAATGAAATATTTTATCTGAAAAGTGGATGACGATGATGATAATGATGATTAAGAAACTCCTAGCTGTTCTCTAGAGTCTTGCACTTTTTGATAACCTTTGAAAGCCAACACTTTCTGCAAAAATTAAGTTACATCCAATGAAATACTTATCTGTAGCTCTATTCTCCTTCCATCGCTTTCTATTCATTCTCTGAAGAGGAAATAATTAGACATGACGAAGTACCAAAAATTATGTCAGTTTAATATATTCTTTCACTTGTTAACAAGCAATCAAACAAACAACAAAACCGACAAGTCAAAGTGTGATGAAAACTGATGATGCGGTTGAAAAAAAAATACTAAACTCTTTTTTTCTTTCACCAGATTGAAACATCAATTGGTCATTATTACCATCGATTGGACTGTATCTATTTTTTTGTCAATCTTTTTTTGGACACTTTGTATTGCACCTTGACCACCATCCAACCCATGCCAAAAAAAAAGCTTGTGATCCTAACCCAAGAACAATTTCACCTGTTAATTTTAATCATTTATTCATCCTGAATGCATATTTGCACATGATTGGCTCGTTTATGATCCTGTCCCACCTCATCAATCAACCATGTTTATTGTTAACTCTTGCTCTCTATCCTTTTGACAGTATTCACTTCTAATCATTTCAATAACAAGTTAATGTACTTGCATCAACATCAAGTGTCATGATATTGATTTCCCTTCGAGGATAGTAAAGAGCGAGATTCAGATGCTTGATGATGTCCATGTTTTTATTTATCTTTCAATTTGCATTTGATTTTAACAACTTGAGACATTAATTATTGACAATCGGACCAACTCTCAACTTTTATTTCCAAAATTAACCATTCCTATTGGCGTCATCATCGTTCACCAGTGAATAAAGTTACATCCAAATGCATGATTATGTTTCAAGCCATAGAGGAACCATTAACAGTTTATCTTCAGTCATTCAATGACCCTCATCTTCATCCTGATCATCATGGTCCATTGAAAAAAAATTGCCTGGATAAAGTTCACAGTCGTAACAATAATCTCAATGATAATGCCAATGATGATGAAAATGATTTTCTCCAGGTTCATCTTTTGCTCTCCCATTCATCCCATGAAAGTTTTGGCAACATTTCCATTGACAAGATGGTTAACAATAAAAAACAAATATGTTATTGTCTCTACGAACAATGATTAACTCTTAAGGAAGGGAGAAAAAATGAAGTTAATCTTCCCTCAGGATAAGGAAGTTTCATTATGATGTACAAACACTCGATAATAATGATAACAACATCATAATTGATGATCTAACTACAAGCTTGATTACCAATCATTGACTTAATTTCATCGTCCCACTTCTGGCCATCATAAATAAACTTTTCTCTGTACCCAAAAACATGGCTGACTGGTTGACCAGTTCAATTTGGTTGATGTTGCTCGATATTAACCTCTGATGATCAAGGATTGGCTCTTTTTTTCTGGAAACCAAGCAATTTGTTACAATTGACAATAAGAAGGGTTGACAGTTGAAAAAAAGTATAAATATTTCAACAGCAAATCTCATTTAATTCATTACCTGATTTTCAAGCAAAAGTATGGATCCAGATTTAATCGAGTTATTGAATTTAACAAACGAGGTTAAATTTGTAAAGGTTGACATTAATGAAGTTATCGAAATTGAAGAGACAAAACTTGTCTATTTTAATAACTTAATGATCAAAATTGTTCAAAGCTTCCAAAGGCTCTAGTTAAATCATTCAATTAAGATGATACCACAAATTAAATTAAATCACGAGTGAAAAGATTCTCAGCATTTCAAGTCAACTGAAAGCAACAGCAGCAGAGAAAAAAGCAAACATTTTGCTTTTTCACACCCAATTGTTTGCCTTTTAACTCAATCATCATCCTCATCGTCTCCATCTTGTCAACTTCAGTTATGAATTAAATTGAACTTTTTTCACTTTCAGTTCCCCAGTAAAGAGGTGCAAAAAAAAACAGAGTCTCGACAAATTAAGACAAGTCAACAACAAAAGGTATTAAAAGGTGAAGAGGAAAAGAAAAATGCAAAGATAATTGATGAAAAATAATGAACCCGGGTGAAAAGAGTTAAAACTTCATGTGTCAAACGATGAAATTGAGTAAAATAATGAACAACTAAATGGAATTAAAATGGAAAAGATTTAAAGGAGAGAGAAAAATGTAAACCAAGTCAAAGCCAAGAAGAAAAAAGAGTTGAAATAATTTTACGATTCCACAAATGAATAACACTGGATGCCCTGAAGGAGATAACTGGATATCATTTGTATACACATTTTAGAGTCACAATCTTTTTCCATGTTCAACTTTATTCATAGCAAATTTTACTTGGTTTAACCCTGATCATTATCCTGATGAAATGAATGCCATATGAAGCGTATAATCGCTTAAAACAACCACCTTTTGAAAACTTATTTCCCTGCCAATGAACAAAAACACCATTATAAGGAAACTCAGCTTTTTCCCCTTTACTCAACCATTAGAGTTGTTTTTTTGTTCATTCCTGTTTATTTGTATTGTGATGTGCCTTTTTTTTGCTCTGCCTCGTCTTGCCCCTTCCATTGTTGAATCGGTTTCAATTTTATCTGTAATTCTGATCATTCTCTTGGAAGGGAATGTTACTATTTCTCTGTTTTTCCCTCTACTTTTTTCTCTCATGCTTTTTGCATGAAAATTGTTACAAAAAGCTGAGCTTGAAACAGAGTAGAAATTTGATTTACACAATTTACTCCTTTTTTCTCGTCATTTTAACATTTTGTTTACAATTTTTTTTCATCAACTCTTTATACAGACTAATGTTAACCTCTTTAAATAAATTATCCGGCTAATTAGTGATAAATGTTTGTCTCTGAACAAGTCTAATTACTTGATTAACCTTTCAACTTATATGAATAATGAATGGTATCAATTAATATTTCACGTCAACATTGAAATTTCAATTTTCGGTTCGAAATGAATTCTTTTACTGTTTCTTTCAACTTTACTCGGTAATCTGGTTTAATTGTTTATCGACAATTAAGGTTGAAACAATGGTAAACCACAATCAATCAACCTTTTTAACCATTAACTGAAGCTAAATCTGTTGATACAATTTACTTGCTCTTTGAATCAACTTTCAAACATGTGTTTACCTTTCATAGCCTGAAAGCAGATTCAATGAATCCTCTGAGAAATGATGATGATGAGAAGAATGAAAAGAATGAAATAATTGGTGGAAAAAGAAGAAGAAGGAAAAAAAATGTTCGTCAAAAGAGAAAAAAGAACGCATTTTTTTGTTCTAAAGCAAAAAGTAAACGATTAAATTGACCATCAATTGTGGTCAGTTTTGTATTTCCTTGAGTTTGCAATTCTCATCTAATTGATTCATGAATGAAGTGGAATCATGAAATGAGTGAAAAGCAAAACTCGAGTCCATCAAAATCAATTGCCAATTGTTTCTCTTTACTTTTATCATTATCATGATTCTCATGGAACGATATCAATGGAAAAAAAGTAACAAATGTTTTATTCGATATTCATTTTTCCTCTTCTCTTCATCACTTCTTGTTTTCCTCTTTTCTCATCATTCTTGAAATTGATTGATTCCTGAAAGATTCAATTGCTTGATGTAAAGCAAAACTAAACTCACAGTCTCATGATTGGCCAATAACCATGAACAAGAAAATATTGAAATCGAAGTGATTTACAATGAATAAGATGATGGAAGAAGAAGAAGCAAAAACTCTAAAAATGATGATAATTTTGAGTAACAAATGAAACTTTTTTTTGTATCCAAATGTTTAGTGAATGTTTTTATCCAATCATTACTTTGACCTTTTCTTGATTACCAATGTCTTTTAGTTCAAAGTTGACTTTTATAATAAATTGTTTCTCTTTTTCCGTTTAGATTTGCCTTTTCTCGAGTCTTCATGTAATCACATTAAGTTGCTGATTCAATTGGACTAGGCAAATTGAAGAGAGTCAAAACCTTGACCTTAACTACTGGCCATCATTGATACTAGACTGACTTCAAGGATACTTTCATTTTCATCAACTGGGTGAGTTTCAGTAGTCTGGAATCGAGAAGAAAGATTTAACTTGATGAAAGACTGAAGTAAAAATCAATTTAACTAGCAAAGTAGTCAAAGTTATTCAACAAATTTCTTGAGTTATTACAAATTGCTCTCATCAACTGAATTTTCCAGAGTTTTTCAGTGTTTTGATAAAAAGAATGATTTATCAAATATAAAAATGAATCTCATTGAATGCAGAAACTAGTCAATCACTTTGAATCAAATTGTTTCTCACAATCGGATTGATCGATTCAATCTTTGCTTATCAAAATTTTTCCAAATGTAAATCCAAAAATGTTTCGACTTTCGATTTTAAAGAAACTTGATCAAACTTTTACTCTTGAGCTTGCAGCAGATCCAAGTTGGAAGACATTTGTGGAAATGAAAACGATGCAGTTTTTGCTCATTAAATTATCAAACTTCCAGGAACAATTTCTTTCTTTAGTCAAAATGAATATTTCCATTCTTAGCTCGATTCCTGTTTCAACTGATGAATGTTGATCAATGAATATTTTCATTCTCTTTTCAACTCTTGCTTCTTTTTCATTTCAATTCTTTCCTCACCAACCTCAATCAATCTAATCTTATTCTATTGGAATGAATGAATGTTCATAAATTAAATGCTCCTAATGATTGGTTAAGATGATCATCAACATTTGAAACCATCAATAACCACTTTTCTTTCCCTTATTATTGTTCATATTATCACAGTTAACACCATCATAATCTCATTTTCACCCCATTTTCACCTCATTATCTTTTTCTTTTCATTTTCTCATATCAATAACATAATGGATACTTAAAGGTCAAACAAACTGTATCAACAATCATTTTACTCTTTGCCTGGACAATCAACTAAAAATACAAAACAAAACAAGTGGACAACCGAAACCATTAAGAATGTATTGAAAATAATTTGCTTTCAAAGAGAAACGGAAAGAGAAAAGTTTACTTTTTTTCTTTATTCCAAGTGATTAATTACATAAATTGAAAAGGAAACGAAAAACAATTCAACAATTCACTTGAAACTTTCCTCATTACCTGTTCATCGCCACAATTCAAGCACAATGTCAGTGTTTATTCAGTTTCTTCACTTGACCACACTTCTTCCAGGTAAGTCACTCTTATGAATCAAAATAATTGAAAAATATTGCAAACTATTCGAGTTGACATGAAAAATCGAGATTTTTTTCTCTCTCTATTGAGTGGCTAGTTGAGTCAGTTTATGAGATAATCAGGATGATTTTAAGCATTATCATGGAATGAATTGAACAAAGCTAATTGCTAGTTGCAGTGGAATGTAATTAAAGAGTTAAATGTCTACTTTTGTCCACTCTTTTCCTCTTTTGGATAAAAGTTCATCTTTAAAATTCGAGGTTAAATTCAATTTAACAGAATGACAGAAAGGGTTACTCTACAATTAGCAATCCTTTTTCGATGACAGAATGATGACGTTAAAGTGTAAAAAATTAATGACAGCCATTTATGAGTCGAGAACATTACAGATGAATGGAAATCGTTATTCAAAAATTACAATTTAACTAATATTTACGAGACTTTTATCTTTTCTTAATCTTGACTTTCCTTAATGTTGAACATAAATTTCAAGTGAACATAAACTGATCTTTCCACCTCAACACAGTCCAACTCAGTGCAACCTTATCACTTATTTTCAAACAGTCACTCATTCCAGCAAAATCACGTAGCAAAGTAAAATCGTTTTTCCAATTTTATCGACTTTCAAGTGACACAAAGTCCTTTGAGCAACCTTTAAACAAAAGATGACTTTTGTCACAAAAAAAACATTTCAACTTATCTTTTTGAAAACGCTTGTCCATTCAATTTAGCCAAACCTAGCCTACATCTTATTGTCCAAGCTCGCTCAATTTTACCTTTACTTTGTCATTAGAAGCACAATTTTTTTGCTCAAAACTAATCAATCTTGAATAACTTTTACTTTCTCCTGTCAAACATTTATTTTTTTCAAGTTTCAAATGTAAAATAATGAATTGACAAATTACTGGGAAGGTCAATGGAATGATAAAAAACTGGGAGTTTTACCTCCCAAATTATCTGATGATAAAATTAACATGAACAAGAATCTCGATGGGAACTCAAATCCATGTTGATAAATGATAATGGAAATAATGTCCCAGCATTTATCAATCGATTGTTCAACTCTTTATATTAGATTAGCCTCATTTTATTCACAGAATGGACAAGAAGATAAAAAAAGTGAATGAGAATATTTTGCCAAATTTTCCTTATCCAACAATCTCAACATTCATCATGAAATGTTTTTGATTAAATTGCATTTCTTTCCCATCAAAGGTGTTCTCAGTGTTTCCGGCAACTGGGAGGAATGGTGGACTTATGACGGAATTTCAGGTAAAATTTTGATTCCCTTTTAAATCTCTTCATTTCTCTGTTCAACTCACAGTCATTGACTGATAATTGAGTTTTGTTAAAGTTTAATTTCATGATGAATTGCCTGGGAACATCATAAGTGGTCTCAATCAATTTGAACCAATTTTTTGTTCTTTACCTCACTTTGCTCAATTGTTTGGTTCGAAAAAGTTTTCCCTTTCTTCCTCTTGACCAGAACAATCCATTAGTCGGAGAGTTAATAATTGATTCATCTGATTATTCATTTATAAACTGGACAAACTTTTAGAATCACAATCAGAATTTTTTTCTTTGCTCGTTCATCACTTTAATCTAGATTTGATTGATTTGCAATTTCTGATTATCAATTGGTTCCATTGCTTTTCAGGTCCTGATTTTTGGGGGCTACTTAATCCAGAGTGGAGTTTGTGTAACAAAGGGAAACGACAATCACCAATAGACATTAAACCAAATCACCTTTTGTACGATCCATTTTTAAGGCCAATCCATATTGACGATCAAAAGGTTAGACTAATGATTTAAAGCAATTGGAATCAAAATGTTTCCTTTTGCCTTCAATTGAAACTTTTGCCAGTTGAAACAATTTTACAGACTAAATCATTTTCAACTTTTAAGCTTTGATGAAACTCTTGAGATAATTGTGAGTAAAAATAATGAAGAGAGTTGAAGAAATGAAAAGTTCAGGAGAAGCAAGAAAAATGTTGAAAAGTTTAGTGTTGTGTTGTTATTATTGACTTATTAGCTTTAGATTGTTGATCATACATCAATTGTGATCTGGTTTTGTCAGACAAACTATTATTAATAGTTAACATGATGTTTTCATAAACTTCAATTAGATTTTATCAAAAAGAAGGAAAAGAAAATTCTGTTGAAATGAATCAGAGAGAAACAAGAGTTTGGTAGAAAGTAAAGGGAAAAGAAATGACAAATTGTATTGAATATCATGTTAAGCTTATTAGCGGCTCAGCATTTAATCCCTTTTCTTAATCACTGCTCTATTTACCTCAATAACATTTACTCGAATTAAACCTTAATTTGACTTCTATTCTTTACCATTTTCACCTAAAAATTTTCATTTTTCATTTGTATCGAAAGGTCAGTTCAATTTTGGCAAAAGTTTTTGATCAAAAAGGCATTTTTAGTATAGCTCGATGCTTGCAATATGAAGTGAAAATTTAATGCTTCATTAGCTTTATCCTCTATTCAAGCTTGACTCATTTTTAATTCAACACTTGTTATTGATTCGTCTTTGGCTTTTCTTTATCCAGATTTCAGGTATTCTGGAGAATAATGGACATTCCATTGTTTTTCGAACAACTCAGTCAGATAAACATCGATTAACAGACTCTTCAAGAATATTTAATGAAGTTGATCCTGTTCGAGGGACACCGATAAACATAAGCTCAGGTCCATTGTCATATTCATATAGCTTTGATTCTTTGTACATTCACTTTGGTCGCACAGACTCTCATGGGTCTGAACATCGGATAGATGGAACTCCATTTCCAGCTGAGGTGAACTTAAATTTGTTGAATGTCGAATTGTTTTTAAAAATTTTGTACTAATTTCATTTTCTCAATAGCTTCAAATAATTGGTTACAATTCAGATCTTTATCGCAATTCCAGTGAAGCTTCCAGAAAAACTAGTGGACTCGTTGGAGTTGCAGTTCTTATTCAGGTAAGTTAGGCGATCAAAATTTCATTCACAATAAAATTCCAATGCAATGCTGGACATTCTGACAACCCAATATTCCGATATTTCAATTTTATAATTGACATTTGATAATAGTTCCCAGGAAGTTAGAAAAATTGTACAAAATTAAGCAGGTCAGGCTATACAAAATCAAACAAAAACTCACCAAGAGTAATGAACCAGTGCAGAGTAAAGACCAATGAAAGAGTTAACAGGCCACGAATGCTCCAGGTCTAATGGTTACATTTCTTCACAAGCAATATCCGAGAAACGACTCTGAAAAACTTGAGATGAATTCAGCGCACTATTTGCTTAAAATGCATAGTACTGGGTACATGTGTATCCAAATTCTGCCACGTATTCAGCACTTTTCCTTTGCTTTCGAAATCAAATTTCTAGAGTGAAAACTTCCGTTTGCGAAAAACATCCATCTTTTAAGGGCCAGAGTTTCTTGAATTAACAGTCTCGGGTTCAGCCGTAATAAAACTAAAAATTGAGATGAAAGTGATGCAGATTACTTCAGAGCCTTTCACTTTGTACTTATGAGATCTATTAAAATAAACACCCTACACCCATTTTGTACATTTAATCTGAATCACGAAGTGTAATCCAAACTGTAAATGCACTCTGCTAATCAGAAAGAGTTCCCTTTTATACTCATTGGTTTATTTATTTAATGAGTATCTGTCTTGTTAACTTTGAAAAATCTGCACGACATGTATTGATAACAACTACAACTTCATAAAAATCATACAAATCTTTTGAGAAAAGCGCCGAAATCGAAAAGGTGGCAGCTAATTCCATTATAATGGCCTTTGAATGAATGGCTGAATGTAATGATAGCTACAAGTGAAGTCTCGATATCGATTTTACATGTCGTGGGGTTTCAGATAATTTCTTACTCATTTGCAAGTTCGTTAATTTGTGAAACAAATTTTGATTCTTAGCGGCAAGATTATGTTTTTCAGTGATTAGGGAAAATTAGTCATTAATGTAGTTCAAATTTACCATAAAATTTCTATTGAAGTTATTCATTTTATTCTGTGATTATTTTTTTCCAATTATTTCAATAATTTATTCATCATCAACTGAATCAAGGTTGCCTCTGCCCTCTACCGACATTTAAATTTCCGCTTTTATCATGGTTGAATGTTATTCATTTGTTTGTTTCATCTGCTTTACAGTAAATTCAACATTATCAGAGCATAAATTATTTCTGTTTTTTCTCAAAGGAGGATGTCAAATTAAATACGTCTGAAAAAAGTTCTGCCAATAATTTGGTAATTTATTCGAAAAATATCGTTATTCAACATACCGGCTAACCAAATCTTTAAAATGTCATAGTCTGACTTTATTTTCACAATCAACCAATTCTAATGGCTAATTAAAATGGTGTAAAAACACTAGCATTAAATAATATAATATAATTAATAATCTGTTAAACTGTTAGTCAAGTTAAATCCCGAAATAAATACTTGATTGCAAATGGATGTTGACACGAATAGCGAATAAGCTTGCCCAGTCACATACAAAAAATCAGTTTTACAATTACGCTAATGAGTCATTTATACTTAATAGTACTCCAATCTACTTCCTTAATAGTAGCCATACAATGATAATTACTGATTACAAATTGACCACTCAATTTTTAAAGATGAAGATTGTTTCAATTGTAAAACTATCTCATTTAGATAGACAATAGAGAAATTGAAAATAAATGCAAACCACTTCAACTATTAATTGGAGTTTTTTTCATTTCGAAACAAACATTTATTCACCTAATGAAAAAATTATCATAAATCATGATATTATCATGATAAATGTATTGTATCTGCTTTTTATAACACACTGCTCATTTATCCCTGATGATGACCATAAATAACAAAGTCAACCAATCATTTCTAATTATATCAACTTTTGATTTCGAGCCTGATTTCATCTAGTAAAATAGCCTCAATCAACTGATTAAAAACTTTGATTTACTGATAAATTTTGCCAGAATATCTTTCATGAAGCACAACTGCAAGACTTCAACATTTCCGCAAAATCAAAATTGACATTTCCATTGAAAATCCAAATTCTGATAACTCATTGAAATGGCACATTTTCCAGTTGAATAATATCGACACACAAATTTCAAGATCATCAGACATTATCAGATGAGGTCAACATGAAGTTATTTTAAGACATTTACAAGATTAATGGTTCTTTGATTGTCCAATCAATCGATCAAGATTATCCTTTGCAAAGTCCATCTAATGATCTTGCCATTCACAAAATGATTGTTGGAGTAATTTTTCTGAAGGAAATTTTCAAAAATGCATTTCGCTATCGTATCAGCCAATCAAAATGGCTAACCTGTAACCATCAAATTGAGCCAATGAACCATTAATTATCTTTACTTCATTCATTGCAGATTGGTGATAATCCAAACCTCGAGCTTCGTCATTTAACCAGCATGGCTCATTTGATTAGATTCAAAGGTATGTTCACTTTCATCCTTATCTTTACACCAAGAACAAAGTTCTCCCCATTAAAGGTTAATTTCATTGAAATTATTTGATTAAAAATGATTAAATCAAATAATGTTATGGAAAAGTTGAAACCAGAAAATTGTGCAGTAATCAGCTCAATGTTCATTTCTTGATCTTACTTTCAGATTATTTCGCATTTTCCATTAAATTACCTTCATCATGTTCAGTGGTTATTTTATCGGAAATGTTTATTCATCATTATAATCAATTTACATGAGAAAACAAATGAAAACAAGAAACATTCATAAGCTTCAATTGATAAGTAAACAGTATTTTCATGGTAAATTTTGCATCTCAAATTGAATAGCAATATGTTTCTAAGTTGAACAAAAGGTAATCACAATTTTAACTCAATTTAACCACAAACATTCAACACTTGAATTGTTCAACTCTAATTATTAAAAATGTTTCCAATTTCAATCTCATCAATTATCACTTTTTTTCACGATATTAATTTTTCAACCTTTACTGAGCATCTTTTTTTATGATGAAAAAATGTTTAGTTTTTGTTTTTCAAAACAAATTGTTTTTCTAACCGTTTTCCGCTCACTCATGATGAATCTATTTTTTCAGCTCTTATCTATTCAAGTTTTCTGTATAAACATTTGAAAGTTATCCAATGATTGCTGTAGTTCAGCTGGTGTTAAACTCGAGTTTTACTCCTGTTTTTCACCACTTTGCTCGATAATATGCTTTGTGAATATTTATTGATATAAAGTGTAACATGATGGAAACATGAATAGGAAAAGATTGTTTAGTTTTTTCACTTATCCCAAAAAAACTAAACTATTCAACTTATCAAGTTTTGTCTTTGCTGGCTTATTTGAGATTCAATCTTTCGTGTAGTTCATTGATTGAATGAGGAAACAAAACTTTGATTGTAAAGTTATTTATTGTTTGAGCCATTTTGCCCTTTCATTTCACTCTTTTGTATTAATCATTTTTATTTTCACTCCAAACATGTTCATTCAAAAGTGAAAGAATAGAAAAAAAACACTAAAATGAAACAATTTTTTTCTTCACTCAAATTATCACGAAATTTTATTCTTGTTTTCCCTATGATAAAGCATTAAACAACTTGACACTTTGCATTCAAAAGCAAAATAACTTTTCAATTCTAAATCTTAGTTAATCATTTTCTCGTCATTTTTATTACTTTTTGATCTTTGCATTTCTTTACTACTCCAACCTTCAGTCGATGAAGAGTTTTATCTCTTCCCTGTCAAATTGACCATAAACTAATGTCTGATACGAACTTTTATACCGTTCTTTAAGGTCAAAATACTACAGTTAAATCGCTTTCCATTCGAGAATTGATTCCTCAACTGGAAACTTACATTACCTATGAAGGTTCAATGACGGTTCCAGCTTGCTCTGAAACAGTTACATGGATAGTCATGAACAGTCCCATCTTCATGACAAAGCAACAAGTAAGTTTCTCTTCAAATTTTCATTATTATATTTCAAGCTTCTTTCGCCGAAACATTTAACTTTCTCTGATTTAAAACTGTTGATCATAAAAAATTTACTCGTGAACAGCCTCACATAAATATTGATGCAAATCACTGTGCAAGGGTGAATGATAAAAGGCTATAATAAAAAGCACAATGAACAACATCGTTTGACCAACTGAACGTCGAGTCTATCTTTTTGAAATTATTGATGATAATAATCTTTATTACCCAAGTTGAAGAGTGGAAAGTGTTACAACAAGAAAAATGGCGATTCTAAAGCCATTTTATTTTACCAATAAAAAAGGTGTTAGTTTATACCTTTTCAGAGCTCAATTACCTTTTTCCATCTTCAGCAAACTTTTCATCCTTTTTTCTCATCTTTGAACCATTTTTTATTTATCGATTTGCATTAAAGTATCTATTCATTTACATTCAATATATTGAGATAAACATTTGAAAGTTATTTGCAAATGATTGATTTTATTGCTCCTGATACGATGTTATACTTGCCTCAATATTAATAATAATAATCATCATCATAATAATGATTCTGATGATGATAAATGTGTGGCAAACAAACTATAAAGACGAGATTTTCTTTTCTTTTGCCTCATCATGTAAAAGAAATGGAAAACTGAATTTAATTCTTTTTCTTCTCGCAAACTTTTGATGAATATTAAATCAATAAGATTATGCCATTTGCGCTTCTTGTTTGCATCACGAACGTTGCTGCTGAGCAAATGAGTGTGACTATTTAGCCTCCATTGTCTCGACTAAATCAACATTCAATTTACCTTCAATCAAATGATTAATAAATTTTACCTTTCTTCCGATTACATAGCTTTTCTCATTACGAAAAATGATGCAAGGCGATGCTGATTCACCCAAAGCTCCATTGGGAAACAATTTCCGTCCTACAACGAAAATCAATCATCGAGTGGTTCGAACCAATATTGATTTTAAACGGAAACAGGTAATTCAAATTATACAATTCATTTACAACTTCGAGTTAGGAACTGAGCAAAATTAAAGCGAAAAGTTTATAAAGTACATAAATTGATCATTTATTGTTGCTTTCCAATTGTCATTAAATTGGCAAAAAAAGAGTAAAATTTATTCAAAATCTTTACATTGCGCTTTCATCAGTTTCATCGATTACAAGCATTATCCAAGTTTCAACTTTTCATTCATCTTCATATTCATCTTTGCACTCTTTGGTGATTATATTTTGATCCTTATCTGAATAGTTCCATCTTTATGCTACTTCACTTGACTTCAATCAAATTTTTATCCTTATTTATGGTTGAATTTTATCTGTTGAAATAGTAAACTAGAGAATGAAAAATTTACATCAACAATCCCTCCCTGATCTTTATAATCACAATATCAAAGTCTTTTTTCTTCTTCTTCATCTCCTGATTTTCCATAAGTTTTTGTTGGGAAAAAGGTTGCAAATAAAGTAGAGTTTAGTGAATTAATCAATATGAATTTGGCAAGAAAACGAAAGGGAAAAAGAAACATTTCCAAGTTAATGTTGAAGAAAAGTTTTAAATTTCATGAAACATTTAATCTGGTCATTGGCTCAATTGATTCACTGAAAAACTTAGATTCGTTAAAAACCAATTTGGTCAAATGATAAAATAATATCAAAATGAGTAATGTTACATGATGCTAAAGCGTTTTTTGAAATTTCAAACTTTTCTGTTCAACTTTGAGAACTTTCATCAGAATAAATGTTTCCATTGAAAGCTTCAATTTTATAAAGTTTCTGTGAATTTTCATGGAAAATTTCTTGTCTCACTGTAACATTTCATCATTGGAAAAATGAAAAATTTCAATTTGAAATGTAAAATTTAAAAACCTTTTTCTTACACAGGGAGCTGAATGTCCATCGCTGAAGACGAATATGCATTATCAAGGTTTGTTAATTGAACTTTTCATTCTAAAATGGACAATTTATTCCTTCCATTAAACACTTTTCTAACTCTTCATTGTTTTCATCCTCATCAAGACTGATAATTATCATTATCATTCATGTTCACATCTTCATGTTATTTCAATATCTATTATTTCCATTTTTCTCTTTCTCTCCCATTCAGTCAATTCTCGTCATTTAAGGACATAATTTTTGGTTGTTAGTTAGTTTACGTTTCCATTAATTGATCTCAATGGACTCAAGTGCCTGATAAATGGCCATTGGAGAGTCACTCTTGCTCCAGATAACATGACAAAAAAAGATGAACCATAATAATGGCAAAATGATTCAAAGGACTTTTTCTCCTCTTCTCTTGAAACGATTTTATCTTTGAATTAGTCTGGACTCACATAAATGGATAACAGCAATGATAATCATTGATTTTTATTTCCTATTTTCACACTTTTCTTTTGCTTTCATTTTTCATTTTTTCCTTCGTTTTCTCTCTCTCTCTCTCTCTCATTCGTATTCAATCATATTTTGATACAAAACCCAACACATGGGCTAACTGTTATCAACTAGCATCGTTCATACAATGCAATATGAAACTCGATTGTTTCCTTCACTTGTAATTTTACTCTTACTGTTGATGGACGCCACTTACAGTTATGTACTTAATCATTTTGACCCACTCTTGAACATAATTTGGTTAACCAATAAGTTGACTGTGAATCTCATTCAACTGAAATCTTTTTTTCGAAAAGAAACAATCATTACTTTTTTCTTGGTGCCAATAAGCAATCAATCCGATTGTATTTTTCATTCGTTCATTTGTTGAAGATTCAATCGATTTGAAATTTAAGACGGTAATCATTTTCGATCGACCATTAAAAATTTAAAACGAAATACATCTGACACTTGTTTTACGAATCAAATATTTTGAGTTGGCTATATTATACAGAATGGGAGTCTGACATCTAACAAATACTGAACTATCTGAAAAATTTTGTACTCGCAGAAAATGACGTGCAAATGTCAATCAGAGGTATGGTTTAGTTAATTAAAGCTTTTTGTGAAAGATTCTGAAAATTTTTGCACTTTTCGATGTTAATAAGTAACATTTTTTGAATCGAATCATTCAGGGAAAAACCAAGACAACTGTAAAATTCAAGAATTCAAGTTTAAATGTTTGCTTCTTGAATTGGAAAGCTTGAGTTTTTATCACTGATTTGCCATTCACTTGCCGGCTCATCAAAGGGAATGATGAATACAGAGAGATAAAACTCATAATGTAATGATTTAATGAATCCTTTAATCATATTGTAATTTGTTGGAGTAAACCGTTGATAAGGAAAGAGTTAACATGATAAAATGGCTTGTGAACTAAATGAACTGCATCAAGTAAGAATGCAACTGATTTATCAAGGTATGCCCAGTTCATTATCATCAAAATGAAAACCAGAGTTTCACTTTCCCACTGTTTCTCTGAGTTATGTTATCTACTCTTCATTGATCTTTTGTCAGCCAATTTCATCGAAATAAAGCTCAATATCAAATCAAATTATAAACCTTTGATAGCGAACAGATGCATTTTTTAATAAATTTATAGAGTTGCTTAGAGAAGGGTTAAAAGTGGCTTGTAAAATTAAATTCATTAGTTTGATTGTTGGGCTGTTTAACAAGGTAATATGGTTTTATTAATTAAATACTATCATCATAATACAAGTAGAGAAGCAACTGTGAACATTCAATCAAACTGTATGGATGCAGTTAAACTCAAAAGCATATAATGTTCAAAATTGGCCTTGATGAATAAGCTTTAAATTTTTAAACCAATTATGATTCGTAACGAACAACAATGAATCTGAAAAGATATGCGATCTGGGAAAATAAACTTAACATGACATTTAGGGGTCAAAAAACTGAATAACCAAGGATGAAAAACACCCAGTAGACCAACTTGTAAAACTCTTTCGTTTGCTGATCGAAACCAGCTAAAACGGGTCTACAGAATGTGAAACGTGAGTAAAAAATAGTTTCATAAATATTAGGTAAACACAGAAGTCTTTATCGGTTTTTTTAATTATTGATTTCAAATTGTCCTGAAATAATTAACTTATGGTAATAATTACAATTTGCAAATTTTCATCAATGATTACATGGAAATCAAGCTTTGAATTAATCTTAATTATTCTTAATTCTGAATTTTCGATCGTTTTTAATCAACAAGCAAATGTGTTGGGGGAAATTTTCAAAAAATGAAGATTTAATTAAAGCAAAATTTAAGTGTGTTAATCGATGTTTTCGATCATGAAATTTAGTGCAGATCGTAGGACAGATTTTGACTAAATATTTTTGAAAAAATCAAATTGATTGAATAAATTTGACAATATTAATTAGCCTTTTAAATTATACCAAAAAAAACCGATAAAGACTTCTGTGTTTACCTAATACTATTGCTATCAAATTTGCTTTGTAAATTGATAAAGCTGGAACCAAAGAGTCAAATTCTGAGAGCGATTACTGGATCAAACAAATTGTATTTTGGCCAATTGAAAGAATATGAATCGATATTATTCTTCATGCATGATATTAATTATAGTGATAAAATTTGACTTTGGTTTGTTCTTAATCTTCTAGTTAATTGGCTTCTCATTCAGTAGATGGAGATTCAGGTCATGATAAGGTGAATCTTTCATGCAAGTTATCTGAGATCTATGGTCGAGGGTCAGTTGAGTGAAAGAAATTCGAGTGAATGGATGATTGAGCGAAAAGCATTTCAGTGAAAGTCAGCTAGGCGAAAATAATTTTTGTTGCCAATAGATGGCGTTGTACAGAAACTTGAATGCAAAGAAAACTTTTGAAGGATTCAGAATAAATTATTTCTAATCCTTTTTATTGAGGTTGGTCCAAAAATAAAATATTACAAAAGAAATGGCCTTTGCGCATATGAATTTCGCCTAGTTGAGGCTGGAAAGCTAGTGCCCATCATTTTGAGCATTTTTGGTTTAATTTCGATCGATCTGCGGTGAATTTGCAATTCTCTCCTCGAATGCATCATTCATATGGTGCATTCATATATCATCAGCTTTCAGGAATGGTAATGCTGAGAGTCGTTAAATTGTACTGTAAACTTCGTCATTGTCTTTATATTCCCTTGTGAGGCCTTTATGCTGAACATTTCTTCAAATAGACTGACTAAAATGAAAAGGTAGGATTTAAGAGTGCAATTCGGAAAGCACGTCTTAATTGCTTTTGTTGATGAAAACAATTGAAAAGATTTTAACTCAATGTTTATTAAATGGTTGACAAAAGTAACTACAGGGCTATTCAGCTACTTAGTATGATGTTGAACGCCAATGACTTTGCAACAAAACATGCTGTTGGCTTAGAGATCGAATATAGTGAGTTTCAGCGATATTCATTCTTTATGTTTCAAGGTCAAGGCCGTTCAAGGTCATTTTTCGACCATCGTTTTTATGCCCTTAAGAGGTCATTTGTAGGTCATTTCTGCCTTTTCAAGGTCGCTAAAATCATTCTCAAAAGTTTCGGATTGTTTGCCTGCAGGTTTCAAGCATAAAAAAGCCTTACAAACAATTTTTCTCTCGCTCAAAAGTAAAAGCTCCGTTTGCTTCTCCTGTCAGTACCGCGAGGAGGTGGATCAGCTTCATATTATGTATCGAATAAATTCTGATTATGTTGATTAATCAGCTTTCTGGCATAGTTGACCTTTTGATCTTGGTCTCTTGTTTACCAGTGTTGATCAAAAAATTACTTATAAGACAGGTGCTCAGCTATTTTCAGTATACTGCTGATCATTGGTTTTATGTGTTTTTGAACTAATCACAGTCTATCATGTAGATAATCAAGACTCAAATAGACTGGACAGTTCTATCTGTGCGATTTTGTGTAGATTCATTTAGTGCGTCGAGAGTCGGAATACAAAAATTTAAGTATAAAATACATAAAAGACATTGAATTACAAATAGTTTTACTCCAGACATTTCTCCAGGTAGCTAAGGAAGATTAGAATGCACGCTGGTAGCATTGGTTCCAAACCATGACAATTAAAGCTAAATTAAATAGAAAAGAAATGAAGAAAAATGATTGATTAGCTAATATCTTGGCAATTAACCGTAATGCGAACAAAAATGGAGAATAAAAACTATCTTTATGATTAAAAAACAAGAAACTGCTGCAGTCATAGCTGAATGCAAGTTTCTCTCAACCACGTATACTATCCGTCTTTTCACCGCATTGTCCACCACTCAATCCAACACATCCCCCAAATTAAACATCACTTTTTGGCCGCCATTTTTATTCACAACTTTAGAGTGTTTTTTCCACCACATTATCAAACAATTTTTTATAAAATTATCCACCACCCAAATCTAACAAATTTTTGACCAATTTTTGGGATATGATGGCTATTAATAGTGAATGTGTTAGATGTTGTGAAAGTGGTCAACATGGGTAATGTAAAACTAAAAAATCTGGTACAACAGCGTAACAAAATGAATGCTAATTTTGAACTTTGAAAGTGATTTTCTCAAAGAGAAAGAGAATCTGAGCAATCTTTAATTACACAAAGCGTGCTAATTCTTATATCCCTGAAAGTTTATCAGATCGTAACTCTTAACTCGAAAGTCCTAGTTTTGGCATTTGTAAATCATCCAACAATCAACCATAACTCCACTAAACTAAAAAATAATTTGCTTCCTTCCACAATACTTTTCAATATGTATTGCTTTTCCTTCCACCCTGAAAATAATTTTCTCAAGAATCTGAGTTCTGGGTGTTGGATAATCTTATTAGAAATTTGTTTCAAAATGTGGCGGAAAAAAGTGGTGGATTAAAGTGATGGACAATTTTGTTGAGAAATGTCTCTTTAAAAAGTGATTTGGTTGATTTGATGGATGTGCTGGACAATATAGTTGACAATACGATGAGAAGACGGTAAAAAAGTGATGGCAAAAGCTTTTTCAATCTTTACTCTTTACTCAAATGACAGAGTTTTACATAAAATCCTGGTTCAACAATCCCTCATGAACCTTAATAACAAAAAGTTTGTCCGCCTCACTCATACTTTTTTATGAATTTCGCAGATATGTGAATTCTGAGGTTAGGTTTCTGATTTTTATCGTAATGTTTTAATAAGGGCTTTCACGCTGTGATTTTTTCTAAGAACCCGCTCAGTTTGGCCACAATCTTGAGGCAAAAAATTTGATATATTGACTTTATATATTGTTTAAATTAAGATAACACAAGATTTTTTTACATTTAAACTGTTTAATTTGATGTAATTTTTCCCATTGTTTCGCGTATACAAATCTTATTTAAGTTTTTCAGATACAAAATAATAAGTTTAAAAAACTATCATTTTCCTGGACCGCTTCCAATTAGGCCGTTAACGCCTTTTAACACATCACGCTGGTATCTTTGATTTCCAGCCATGACAATTAAAGCCAAATAAAATAGAGATGAAAAGGTTTCGAAAAGTTGCATTTTGTTTTTTTGTTATGTTCAAAACACAATATCAATTATAGTATTTGCAAAGTAACTTGTTGAACTACAAGACATAAACTGATACTGTTTTCTTTTAACTTATTCTTTTTATACTCATCAAATTATCACATATTTATACATTTTTGTTTGCTATATGTCTAGACGACAGTCAAATTTTACATTTTAAGATAATTGTTTGGATTTGAATGTATTTATCAAACAATAGTTTTGAATTTTTTTTAAACTCTTCATATTACGTATCGAATAAATTCTGATTATGTTGATTAATCAGCTTTCTGGCATAGTTGACCTTTTGATCTTGGTCTCTTGTTTACCAGTGTTGATCAAAAAATTACTTATAAGACAGGTGCTCAGCTATTTTCAGTATACTGCTGATCATT